GCCGAGATCGCGCAGACGCCAACTAAAACAAAAGATGATCGGGGCGGCGCGGAGGGACGCACTGGCCGCCGCTGCACACAATAGTTCCGATAGACGGAGCGTCAGGTCAGACCAATACGGCTGGGCTGGTCAATTGGTCATGGCCCACTGACACCTGATTACGACCCGAATAAGATATATGGGTGCATAGATTTATTGGCTTGCTTAGCTTGCAGTCAAAACACGCGGACATGTGCAAATTTTCGCGGCGTTGTGTATGATGAATGTGTGACATGTGATAAATGGGTGAAGTTGTGAGGAGCGCGGTAATCCCTCTACATAGGGGCCGATAGAAGTGGTTGTGCTGAATGGTAGAGGGCTAGGACACATAAATTGTGGAAAACTGTGAGGACTTAAAAGTTTTAATGCCAATATGTAGGCATTCGCCTTATACACTTGAATATTTCGGTTTTACGACTTCGGTTTTCATGGTACCCACACGTCACACACTTTAAACGGCTTCCAATTACGAGTGCAGATAAATACTACAAAATATATTACTATTTCAAAAGTCCCTAAAAAGACGGTTCAGTGACATTTCTATCAATGTTAATGCCAGGAAGCACAACACAATGGCTTCAAATTCACAGCATCGTCGCTCCTTCCACGCCGTTTACCTACAAGCCCTGGCACGCATTAGGGTTAGTTATACATATATGGCTATTGACGGTCCGTATCTATCGTAATCATTCCCTCAGGACAGCGTTGATAAACGGCTTCTTGAAAATGACTATAAACGACTGCAATGAAACATAGTGACAAATAATACCCAACTTAGCCGCCTCGAATCTGAATCTACGACGCACCTTGGCTTTTCACGCCCGCTAATTTGTCGCAGCAGCCATGATACGGATTTGCAAAGGCGATAGTAAATAAAGCGATTAGTGTCGGCATGGCCACAAGCTGTCGTTGCTGCTGTGAATTATGGACGGTCCGCTCAGGTCTGAGAAGTGAGCTAGTCGCTTCGCTGGCTGGATAATCTGTTACCGCCGAAGGCCCTGCCCAGTTATACCCAGAGATCCTAAATGGTTCATCGGGATAGCGATGGTATCAATAGGTATTCTATGGGCATTGGGCGTAGTATTGACTCGGGCGTTATATGTATAGATTACGCACCCGTTAGATTAGACCGTACCCAGAAACCTTCATCGAATCCACTCTGTAAACGTCGTTGCGACTTGCGAATGCGACTTTCTTAGTGGATTGGATGGGCTCCAATCATGCCAATGTATAAAGCTATCATATGCCTCAGAACATGGCGTTAATGCCTTCGTAACGTAGTCCTGTAATTGTATCGGAGGTATCAGGGCCAGGGATCCCGAGGCAGGTTATGGGCGGAAATGCTCTCAACTCTACCTCTCTCTCCCTTCCTCCCTCCCTCTCCCCGCCGCTCTCATCAACCCTCTCCCAACCGGGAGCCATTGGAGCACCTATCGCTGCCCAGATCCGTCCCAGACGCCGTCGTTGGCCATTCAGGCGCAAAGACGAACGCGACGCGTCGACGACGAGCTCGGCGCGGCTATCGTCGCCGTCGACGAGTCTGGCGCTATCTGACGTCGTCGACGTCGATGCGACGCCTGAATCGGCTGGGTGCGATGACCTGCCACGGCGACTGAAAGGGCTGCTGGGATCCAGTCGAACGGGGGTAATTGATTATTCGTTTCCAGATTAAGCACATTTATAGATTGGCAATCAAGACCAAAATCACTCATTATAACGTTTCCCATTTTGTCGGACTTCTTGCCAAACATTTTACTAATAATCCGTGTGGTCTTTCAGCACAAAAGTGCATTACCTGACTGCACAATGCATATTCAAACCGGCAGCGTAGGCTGATCCTCGTAAAATTATTTTGTGCTTAATTGAGTTCAATTTTAGTATTCACAGAACGGCAGAGTGAAGGTGGGCGGTCACAGAGCTATGTGGCGACCTCCAGCAAGGCGGTGGCCGTCCGGACCGCCCCGGTCCGATGACAGTGTCACCTGTTCGCGGCTCTGTCCGGTGTCAGGTGACACTCCTTACAGCGGGGCAGGCCCGGCTCCACAGCGGTGGAGCTCCGCCCGCCGCCCGCCACCGGACGCAGATCCAGCTCAGATAACCTCAGCGACAGTGAAACAGACGAGACGAGCATGGCGTACAGTGCACAGTGCGGCAGGTGCGGCAGCTCAACACGGTCCCATTACAGCTGAGGGTCAGAGCAGTGCTGCGGGAATGGCATGCTAACTTGGAAATAGAAATATTAAATTTGTATGCGAATTGTGTGATTTAATTTGCACATTTAATGCGCAAATTAATGACAGTACCTACCTGTATTCTGTATGCTATGTAGCGCATGCCATATCCACCGCTGTCCTCTACCGCGGCCACCAATCGACCAATCGACCGTTCAATGAGAAGGCCTACCTCGCGGCCACTCGGGCCCTGTCCGCTCTCATTGCCGCCAGTCCCCAGCGGGTGTCACGTTCCTCGAGCAAAAAGGTCCCCGCGTTCCCGGCACTAATCAAATCAGAGACCGGCGGCCGGGGCGGGCTGCTCACTACCGTTTACCGCGGCCGTTTTTGCTCAGGCAACCACTTAAGTGAAAGTTTGGCGTTGGCTTCTGGGAGGCCTGGGGCAAAATGCAATACCGGTGGGCTGATTAACTTTAAAAAGTGCGTACATTGCGCAGAATTGTCTGATCGACCGGTCAGCATATTAGCATTTGTAACACAGCGATAATGCCCTGAGACTGTGAGGAATCTGCTGACATTTGAACGGCAAGGAATAACGTCAGCTGGAGCCTGGAGGAACAAAGACAGGACTTTTGAGGAATGATAGAAATAGCAAGAAAGAGGTAGGAGAGAGAGGGAGAGAGAGAGAGAGAGAGAGAGAGAGAGAGAGAGAGAGAGAGAGAGAGAGAGAGAGAGAGAGAGAGAGAGAGAGAGAGAGAGAGAGAGAGAGAGAGAGAGAGAGAGAGGAAAAAGAGTCAGAGATAAAAAAGAGGATTCTATCAGAGGTTCCAGAGACAATGACGGCTGTTGAGCGAGCACCATTGAGCCCGTACGTACCTCCATTCATTGTGCAAAGAACATTTGTGATAGCAGTAGCAGCTAGGACCAAGATTCCTTTACTGCTCGCTAGGACGGGAGAATTACTGGTCGACAGACCGCACATGTGGTGGCATTAGCTCGCGAGATAGGCAGATTAGCACAAGCAGGTGTGCTAAGAAGAGGATCTGAGTACACGCAAGGCAACAAAGGACACTGTCAGGCACGTGAGCTCAACTCGATAGCCTCGAGCCGTGACCCCTGGCTACAGTGACAGCACGCATCCTCCCAGCCTCCTAGCACCCATCCAGCCATTTGGAGCACGGTCAACACCGCCTAGAAAAACGGCTCCGCTGACCGACATTGGGTGACGACAAGAGCCATCAGCAGTGCGGGCCGAGGGCGGTAAACTTCCTGTCGTGTATAACAAAGGGCCCCCGCTCCTCTCCCAGACCGCCATTACTCCAGTAGGAAGCACGGCGAAGAGGGGAGCACAGATCGTGCTCAAGGAGTGGCGGGCGATCCCAACCATTCCCGCTGCTCCCCGCCCCTCTTGGAGTGAGTGATGCTATTACGACAGTAACCGCACCGCTCACCATGTTCGGCATTATGCAATTTGACAGGCTTTGTGGATCCCAGGTGAAGAAATTTCGGCCAGGTGATGTAATTAAATGCCCCTAACCTTATCTAGGTCCGAGCGCTCACTTGCTATTACAGCGTTCGAGACGAACGCTGCCGCCCGAGCGACGACGAGCGACACCGATACAGCCGGACGAGCGACGCCGATACTCCAATATCGATTTCAATCTCGCCAACCCGATTTAATTAAGCGCAATGATGAAGCCAAAATGCAGTCTATTATAGAAGTCATCAATCATAGGACGAATGGAGGCCGTTCAGATGGCAGACTACGGGAGAAGATCGCACCACTGAGCTCGACCGGATATTGATGATCAGATCAATCCCTCAGACTGAAGACAGTCATTGATTCTACTGACCAGAAGTAGCCAATACGAACGCGCACCGCAAAGCTATGAATTGGCATAATCGTTGGCACCTTCTCACACGCAGACAGTAGCGGTGAGTTTAGCCGACAGGTTTATAACGTTATACCTACTGAAGTACGCCGTATATACCTACTTTCCGAAACGATTGAACTGATGTGAATTCTGAATCAGTGGAACGTTTTCATGTCGTGACTCCATCAAAAACATACTCATATATCTACCATTCATGACTCTAGCAAACTTGTTTAATACGAAGGTTCATAAAATGCTCCGGACTTGTTTCCCTTGTCCAGCAAATCATGTGAACGCCAGAGCGCAGAACAAACTTTTGCAATCGTTCCTGGAGCTCGAACACCGTTCTTTGTGTGTTATCGATGGGTGACTCGGATAAAACGAACCATAGTACGCGTCGGCAACATAGAATGGGAGAATATCTCTTGGTCCTACAGCCTCGTCACTCAGAGCTATCATAAAAGCCAAACCTTATTGGCAGGCGCTAGTACCCCAGCCTTTGTTGCACACCACACCAAGCGAGCGCAGGCCTAACTCGCTTTCCTATACGTACTGGCTTCAGATTTTAAACGGTCTCGGTGTCGCCCCTCTGCTGAAGTTATGTCATCTGATATTGCCCCGATAAAGTCACTACCGTCTCCGATTTGAGAATGAATGAATTTCCATTTAGCTAACGCTACCGCCGAGGGTGCGATTGTACTTTACGCACAACTCAACAAGAACAGCCCGCACTTATTTCGATCTCCGGATGAAAAGAAAAAAACATTTAAATCCACTGCGCTGCGAGGAGCGCTGATGATCGGAGTTGGAGTATCCGTGATCATATTGCCCACAGGTCTTGTTTCGCGAGATACCCAGATATATCCAGAGGCCTACCCAAACATACAGACAAAACTTTGCTGAACAATATCCTCGGTAAGTGTTGATAGATATATTTGGCAAAAACCATATTTCTGGAATGTTCGCTACAAACATCAATATACGACGTAAACAAAGCTAGTGGAAAAGACCACAGAAGGGACAGGCAGCCACCAAGACAGGCCGCCACGCACGAATCAACGCCACAGCTATGATTATCCATGACCTCTCTGTCACATGACAACTGAGTGCAACAGCGTGACCAGATCATTAAACAACATGCAATGACTACGAGACGCGCACTGTTTGCCAATGACAACTTCACAACCCACTGACAATGTATAGTTGAACGCTGAGGACGGGCCTAGCCGTGGTCAATACAGGAAGAGCTCGGCGATATCTGCCTTCCCTCCCCGCCAATTGGAATGGTCTAAACCGGACAATAAACACTGTTAGACCGCGGCTGGTTTGGAATGCTTTCGGTTTCGGTTTGTGCATGATCGCCGTTACCTATAATTCGTCTCGGACCAGCGCTGATGTCATGGGAGAAGTGCACAGTGACAACCGCCCTGAGGATAAAAACGATCGCTCAGAAAAGCGGCCCATTTCCACCAGCTCGTATCACAAGTCGGTCGGGTTCACATAGCGGCGTCCCCTGGGCCTGTGCCGCTCACAGGTTGGCCTTGTCACCCTTCCACTGGTAGGTGCCCGTGTACTTGAAGCCCATCCGTGCGCTGAGGTCGTCCGCCTCCTTTGGTCCCCGAGAGCCATATCTGAAACGAAAATGCGGTGTCAAAATGACTGGAAACGTGCCAGGCATATGTGCATCGTGCATGTTCATAGCCTGACTCAATTTAAATTCATAACAACAAAATGTGATCAACATTTTTTTCTTTTTTACTCAAGCCGTTTACACCAAACATAAAAGAAGCGAACATAAGTCAAGCTTGGAACAGCCGAGTCTCTGGTGAAGTTTCCTAGCACAACTGCTCGACAGATGTCGCCACTCACTTGTACTGAACGGGCGCCGGCTTCTCGTTCTCAATCTTGTGCAGCAGGGGCGTGAAGATGCGCCACGCCTCTGCCAGCTCGTCAGAGCGCACAAAGTGCATCTGGGAGCCGCAGAACACGTCCAGGATCAGACGCTCGTAGGCGTCCGGCAGCTTCACGTTCTGTGGACGAGACAGACACGCGGTCAGTTGAAGAAAGCTTCTTGGTACACATACATCATCAAAATCCAAAAGGTTGTCATTGGTAATGAAGAGATTGCAAATACTGTTTGCTTGTTAAACTCAGCACTTTTGCATAGAGATCTCGGACCACAAGACGTAAATTAGCCCGACTGGTCCGTGCCTATCCAGGTCTTTAGCCTCGATAATCGACATTTTCCGTTTATTAGGTGTTTAGTGGCTAGGCTATTGATAAGTACAGTCGTGAGGTTCATTCTATCGGCATATACCAGTGTTATAAACCAAGTCTAGCCAACCCTACATTAACGCTGCATGTGAAGCTAACTTACCTTGTATCTGGCGCCGTAGGTGAGGTCCAGCTCGGTTTCCTCCATGTCGAACGTCATGCCGGGCTTCTTGGTCATCATCTTGATGTAGACGGCCTCGCCGGGCTGGACGCGCATCACCAGCTCGTTGCGCTGACACTGGCCGCGGAAGATGTCACCCGGCACGTCCCGGTACTGGATGCGAACCTCCGCCTTACGCTCGTTCAGCGCTGTGGGTAGATAGGGGTAGAGTGACGGCAGGTGGTGCTTGGAGCTGCTCTCAGTCGGATCGGCACGCTAGGGTGAGCGGTAATTTAGGTGATGCTGATGACGTTCACGCTAGTGCCGAACTGATGAATGATTACAGCATAAATGAAAATACACAGTTGAGACCCAGCAAGACCACAGAAGAGCTGAAGTTAATAATTCAGCTCAGCAATATCAATAGATTTGTCAGATACCTATGTTTCATCAGTTTTATCTAACCTAAAAATCACACTCTGAGCCGGTGACCGAGGGAATACTGACCTTTTCCGCATCTCAGGATGAACGGCACTCCCTCCCAGCGCTCGTTGTCAATGTGCAGCGCCGCCGCCGCGAACGTCGGGGTCACGGAGCCCTGCGGTGGTCAGGGGGTACCGCAGGGTCAGATGTTTGGTGACACGGATAACACAGGTGCGGCATTACATGGCGTTGGTTCCGCCTGGTGGGCACTTTGAAACTCAGCGGGGTGAAACCGGATGGATGGAAGCCCTATGAAGTAAGTTAGGTTAACGTAGCGCCCATTATGCTCGCTTTGCGACCATCGTGATGACACTATGTGCTACGTGATATGAGTCGCCAAAATAAGGTCTGTAGGTAACCAAATAAAGCTTAATTCCGCGTGGAACGACCAATTACCCACGCCCGGCCCACGCCGCCGGTCCTTACCTTGGGCACGGTGGGGTCGTCCAGGTAGCCCAGCTTGGCGTCGCCCTCGCCCTGCGGGTCTCCGACGTACTGTCCCAGCACGACGTCCTTCATCTCCAGCTCCCGGGTGCACTTGAGCACCTTCACCTGAGAACGAGCAGGACGGGGTGGGGTCAGAGGCAGCTCAGTACACTACACAGCACATATTAACCTACCAGCACAAGCAAGACGGCTGATAGGGAAGGTGGAAAGAACATTAATGTTTAATACCAAGATTGAGATGACAGTCCGTGGTAGTGATACGCACCTTCTCGTCACGAATATCGTCGGCATTGGAGGAGCAGGGCTTCTCCATGGCTGCCAGACAGAGGATTTGCAACAAGTGGTTCTGCATAACGTCCCTGGAACACGAAAGACCAAATCATTCAGACAAGCCTGACCAGAGCAAAAAACGAAATAAATATCCACAGCTTATCATACATTTACAAAAGAAAAGCGAGCGATTCTATGATTGACGTTAAAATCCCTTCTATCAAGGATCCCTTGGTAGCTCACGAGCAGCGACAGCACCCACCTGATGATGCCGAACTCGTCGAAGTAGCCGCCGCGGCCCTGCGTGCCGAACGGCTCCTTGAAGCTGATGTTGACGCACGAGATGTGGTTGCGGTTCCACGTGGGACCGAAGATGACGTTACCAAACCTGTCGTCAGAGGGAGGTTGCGTCAAGATTCACTAGGTCATCGACGGCTGCAGAGTATAGATGGAATGGGCTGGAACTGGGCAAAGGGCGGTGGGGGACTAACGCGAAATCGGTCCTTGATATTTTAAGATGGAATGCAGCAACCAAGGTAAGAAATTCTTACCGAAACAGGCACATGAAAGAGCCCAGCAAGTCCGTAATACGACCCCTTCTGACCGATGGGTACCTTCACGTCCCACACCGATAGCAAATCCCTAGCTGACCTGAGCGTCATCAGGTTCTGCACCATCTCCTTGCCGAGGTAGTGATCGATCCGGTAGATCTCCTCCTCCTTGAACAGCGAGGCCAGGTGATTGGAGAGCTCGGCAGAGCTGGCCGCGTCGCGGCCGAACGGCTTCTCCACGATCACCCGCGTCCAGCCCCTGACGGAGAGAGCAGGGCTATAGTTGGTCTCTGATAGGGATGAGGTGAGGTGAAATACGGCATCGCTGTTCGTCCCGCTCCGCTCAAGCACTCGCGATTCATCCAGGTCACATAAGCACTCGGTCCATCAAACAGCTAAGGGCGCCTGCTCAGTAGCGCAGGCACTAGGCGCTCCTTACGCCTCCACCGGTACAGTATGTATGTGTACTATTTACGCCTCCACCGGTACAGTATGTATGTGTACTACTACAGACACCTGATCGACTTCACTGCCATCTGTCGGTAAAACGGAGTAACTGCGGCGCATTAGCCCAGCCTCAACGCTCCACGACTGCTGGCTAGTCCGGTGAAAGCACCGACATCTGGCGAGAGCCCATGTACTATCACGCCACGCAGAACCTGGGTGGCGCCACGCTAGGCTACCGCTACTATGACTTCTAACAACTGGAGCGTCTAGAGAAAGCGTCCGCGACGGACACACCAAATCGACGCCCTGCTGAGGGGCTGGGCCACTGCACCGCCCCGGGAGGCTGGTAGGGTGTGGCCGGAGCTTACGACAGTCGCCACGTGCCCCACGCTCTCTATCCATCCCGTGTAGAGCGATATGGCAAGAGCAGAAAATTGATAAAATGCCGCCTTGTTTCGTGCTTCCCCATGTGGGTGCAGATATTAAGGTGCTTTGGCTGATGCCAGACCCCCTTAAACGCGTTTTGTTCTTCGAATCATCTCGGTACTTACGACTGGCAAGGCACGGTACTTTTTCAGATACGAGTGCTAAGACATATGAAAAACCCAGCCCGGGACCATCCGGGACCACCCAGCCACCTTACTCACTTTTTGCCCATACACTTGGCCTTGATGTTGGATGTGACGGGCTGGAAGACGGACGGCGGCAGGGCCAGATAGAAGAGCCGGTTGGCGGCGGGGCCCGTCTCCAGGGCGGAGATGGCCGAGTCCAGGCCGGCGAACGCCGCCGGGTCGTCATAGCCCCCGGCCACGTACTGGTTCACCTTCCAGAACGCCTCGTAACGCTCCTCGTCATCGGGACGCACCTGGAAAGGGGGAGGGAAGGTTTAAGTAATCAGCTAGGGACAGTCAGACGCGAGGGGGATATTGGTTGGCGCGGACACAGCGATAAGTGATGAGAAAGCGACATTTTCGACATAAAACTAAGTAGACTGTGCCTTCGCAGCGCCCCCTTCCCTTCTTTTATGAACCTAGACCCTAAACACAAAGTATTCTATTCAAATTTGAAACTATGCCTCAAAGCGAATGAGAACTTACGAAACAAGCGTTATAAAAATGTATATCCTCATGAATTCTTGCAAGTTGACCTTGAGTGGTTGACAGCCAGACGCAGGCTCTTATATTTATTCGCATAACGTATACCAAATGCATGGTACAACAGAAAACAATGAACAATCACTGGTACAGTTGAGGGCGCTCTGCACGGTTTTCGATATAGCTCAAGGTCCCGCTCCCGCGAACAGCTAGCTCGTTTTACGCCCGGGAACGGCACCATCAGTTCCGCTGGAGCTCGTTAGACTTTCGCCCCGCTTCCACTCGGGTCGTTCCAATATGATGACCGAGACTGGCTGGGGGAGGGAGCAACGGTGGCAGCCTGCAAGTATGTAACCGAGACCGAATCACTGAACGCTGTATTACGTTGCTAGGAATGACAGAGATTATGCTTCAACTTTGCTGGATTAGTAATAGTCCTGGGCCCTGGCTACAAGACTTTTTGGAAATTACTTAGGTAAATGTCATTTAAGTCTAAAAGTAAATTATCATGATGCTATACATTATAGCAATGCTTTAGAAAAATGGGCTTGTTGAACTGCAGTATGCTTAGGCCCTCTTATACTACTTGATAACACTATAACACTGCTTGTTTGCTAGGGCCTGCTTTCCACCCAACCGGGGTATTTTTCAGCCGGTGACCACCACAGCAAAATCCAACACGAAAGCGCGGCAGGTTGAGCCCCCAGGCCACGGCACTAGCCGTGTCATCTCAGTTTGTCACGGTGACCGGCGGACCAGCGCGGCACTCGGGAGCGTTCTGACGAGCGCGCGAGGGGCGCAGAAGGTGCAAGTCACCGTCACCTAAGTGCCCGGCCCACTGATCGGTGACCTTCGGGCATGAGGCGACTACCATTGGGTACACAAGATGGAGGACGTTCACGTACAGCGCACGGACTGGGGAGGTGACTCCTCTACGACTCCAAAACCGATGAAACTTATAGGAATGAAATCGGGGGCCATCACAAATTTTCGGCTGAATTTTTCTTCGTCATGCCTAAAAATCAAATTTGGACCAATCAGAACCTGCCCGTGATCACCATGATCCGTGATCAATGTCCGCCTCACCTACCTTCATGTACTGGTGGCACTTGTCGCGGATCTCCTTGACCTGCAGCTTGGAGCGGGCGTAGCCGATGACGACCGTGTTCTCTGGCAGCAGCTTGTCGCGGTACAGCCACCAGATGGTCGGGTAGATCTTCTTCTTGGCCAGGTCGCCCTGGTGGAGGAGAGAGAATGTCAGAGTGGAGTGGATGGCAAGCGAAGATTTACACGTAGGGGTGCAAACACAACCTGTGAAACATCCCATATATCGAAAAATATATGTCAAAACCGCTAAATGCCTATACTCTGGACAGACGTATGGACAAAAACAAATTATCATATCACATCATGGGGTTACGACCATTAGTCAAAGTAGTGACAGTGGAAAAACAAGGCCGCTTATTTTCTTTTCTAGTGTCAGTGTTGCGCAATATGTTTAAATACGGCTGATCTAGATATAGTGTACCTAGGGGTGCTGTAAACCGCATACCAGACCGGGGTATTACTGCTGCAGCTGATGAGGCAACCTGACCAGGTATGTCAGTAGTAACAGGGGTGGGTCAGATTAACAGCAGCCGGAGCCGCACCTCTGGCCATCCATCGCCCCCCCCCCCCCCTGCTCCACTCTCACTGAAGGTAGGACATAACCGGGGCGGGTGGGGCCCGGCTACATCCATGTCACGCATGTAAATCGGCGGTAATGGCGACCTCACGCCCGCTCACAGACATCTGATCAATCCATGTGTGCCGTCAAAGGGCGGTCAAACAGCTCCAGTCAAACCCATCGGCCCAATTTCGCCCACCTCACTCTAGTCATATTGTTATTCAGAGCGGAAATAACTCTGGCGGAGAGAGCGTGGTTGACGGGACAATGCACCTTAGCAGCACAAGGGTGGATTGTTTTAACCGGTCCGGGGTTTTCGATAACGCTAGCTTGGAATCCAGTCCTGTCGCTGCCTCTATAATCAAGAAATAGAGTCCTTCTTCCCGTAACCCCGTTGACCGTCTCTACTTGTTGATCGAGTCTGAGGGTGTGCTATCCCGAGGAGAGTAGAAATCTGCTGTCGTTCAACTCTCGTTCACTTGGGCACATTCCTATTATCGATTATTAATTAGCATTTGACGTTAATCGTTGATGTCATCAATAGATGACATTAGATAGTAGAGAGTACTCGTTCAAGTGTCCTATTAAACAGCGGTAGAGCCAGAGACACTGTCAGTTAGCATGCTGCTGACTGGTCTGTTTGGTGCTAAATGTTCAGGCAGGGTAGACTTGACAAACAACACCCGAATTTCAGGGGCCCACCGGCCGACTCTTGCAAGTTGCAAGCGTGCGCCACCCTCTGCAAATTTAGGCTTCCCTGCAAGATACCGCAGCGTGCGGGTCAGGCAGAGTACGGGAGGCACCCGTGTCCTCCTCTCCTCCATCCAGCTGCCGAGCTGAACTGCGCCAGCGGGTCAAACAATATTCATTTAAAGTTACTGTGGTCGTAAAATAACCGAGAGACCATTCCACTAAGATTTGATGAGATTATCTTGTACCGTAAGCGATAAGGTAAATGTTACTCCATGCAACATTACACATCACACTAAGTTCATAAAAAGCCAGTTCGGGCGAAGCGCCCTTTCCCGTCCCGAGGCTGCGCGTTATTACCGATCACGATACAATGAGGCTCATTGGATTACACAACAGATCAGCGAGCACCGTTCATGGTAATGGATTACCTACGTGAGCTACATGCGCTGGTTCGTAACGGCTTACGGTGTTTCATGAACGCGCTCTTCCAAGCTAACTGCAATGCAACTTGCTGTAGCACAAAGCAATAATATGCTTTGCACTGTGGCGCCTTGTAATGACCTGTGAAAATGGATGTCATCGTCCGCCCCCACAGTCTCATATTTTCACGCTATGAAACACACCCCATCGGGATAGCGTTTATACCACTAACACGTCTGAAGACTTCCCACAAGGTAAATTACTACTTGAACAATGTCCACTCATCATACGACACGGTGCCTCGGGGCTCGAGGGTTCCCTATGCAAACGTACCGATGCGCCGAGGATGACAAACACGTGTGGCACGGTGCGTCCAAACTCCTTTTCGCCTGCCAAACTCTCACGGAAGATCTCGAGCGTCGACTCCGGCGCTGCAACAAAGGTGTACGAGCGTTAGACAGTGGAACACGACACATGTAACGATTTACCCACACCGGTCTTGCACACAATCACGCACTGGCAATCATGGGACATATGCACTCGTCTGGTTGGGGCGGGGGTTTATGAGCGATGTGGTACATATGACGAAAGAGGAGCACGTAAGTCATTGATAGGTGTGAGCCGTGGCCCTTGTGCATTGAAAAGGAACCAATAGTGCCACAGTGACAGAGAGCACACCATCCCATTTCGATGTTTAGCATGGCCTGACATTCGTTGCCTGAAACTTGCTCTAGGGCAGTATTTGCACGATCATATTCATGTCAATACAACCGCTGCACATCAAGATACATCCGTTGCAAGCGATATATCGTTTATTTTTTCGTTCGACGACGAAAGTTTACCACCTTATTTGAGCCAACGTGGCGGTATGTAGCCAGTATAACTAAACATAAGAACATCACGCTCGCTGGCCGTGATGGGCTGTTCGCCAGTTGCGAGGCGAGTCTCTCGTCTGTTGAGTCACGATGAGAGGCGCAGTGTTTGTGTCACGAACCAGCATCGCTTAAAGCTACGGATGGAGAATAGAATGAGCCGTTCCAGCCTGAACAGAAATGCATCACCACCTGGTTAGGACAAACCTATTTTGGTGCTACATTTTTTTCTTTTTGAAAAAAAAAAAAAATATTTTGATTTTGACATGATCATACTGAGAAGTTTCTGCATTAAAATAAATATGAGGCAACTTTCATTCCATATTTTTGAAGCAGGTTCGAGCACAGCAGCCTGCCTGTACTTTTATAAACACATGATATATCGCTGATCTCAGTGGCTCCAATTCACAGTTTCCATGCGGCACAACCACCAGACAAGCAAAAACACGGTGGTCCATCAGCCTTGGCCGCCGGCGGAGGTGTTTTTACGTCCAACGCAGGCATATGGGTTCCCAACTGCGGTCCGAGCTCAGCCTCATACTGTCACGCATGGACCCTTGGTGTCAGCCCAGGGTCACAGCCGCCTGACCAGAGGTCATCGGTCCAAGAAAAGGCGAATACTTCGCTAGCACGCCTGTTCGAAATAAGTGGATCAACGCTCTCGCGTTGCATTCAGCCGAGGCCGAAATTTATGCGCTTGCACCACAGGCACGTTCACAGAACAGTCACAAATGCTCACGGATGTCACGAACACGACCTTTTGGGCTCCTCGGGTCGGCCGTAAATTTCCCTAAGAGACACACGGGGTGAGGGGAGCTGGGACAGCGTGAGACTGTGGCAGGCAGGTCAGGATATCCACCGGATATGCTTCTGACTCGACTCGGCAACAGCCGCCAAGCCCCAAGCGCGCAGCACCGGCGATCATAACACATAGGAAAGCAAAACAGGAAAAGTATGTGCAGTTATTTTACAGGTTGTACGACAAATCGCACCGGAGCTGGCAAAGCCGCGTAACAATGCGGGCGGGGAGGGCATTATGCTGGTGATATAACCGGTTTTAAATATCAGCTGGACCTCAGATATCCGTGGAGCATGGTGCTCGACATTGCATGTTTATTATTTATATATGCCAACAGGACTTTCCATGGCTATGAGTAATGAGAAACCTTTTAAAGTCACACAACGGAGAATACAAAGCAGTGCAATCATGAATATGGTAAAGTTACAACGTCGGAAATAGGCAGGTACGAGTAAAATTGTTAACCGTTAATTAGCCTAAATAAACCGTACACACATAAATAACCGTTGAATAATACCTAACCGTTGAATAATACCTAACCGTTAAATAATAAAAACGTTAACCGCTTAAAAAAGTGAAAATTAGGTAAAAGCTTGCTTTTTATAATCCGTTGGTCAAAGTAATATTTTCCCGATATTTTATCTTTAAAAGTAGGCATCGGCTGCGTTTTTACAAAATTTAAAATTGACATCCCTGGTGCCTGACTTTCAGACAGCGAACCAGGCACCAGTCACGGCGGCAGAGCGCCTGCTGAGCTAATGCTATAATAATTGGACGTCCGACATCTTACTGATCGATCGAGCTTGCTACTGAGACTAATTGAATTACCTTAGAGGTTTGGAGAGCTGATGTCTTCTAATCATCCATGACGATGAAACGAGTAAAGTAAGAAGTAGAACAGAGGAAGTTTTACTTTCTGTCCAGAACTAGTTTCGAAATGTCAAACGTAAAATGACTCATTTGCCTCTAAGTTTAATCCTACGGGATGTATTAGCGGCCTTTGACCGAGGCCCTGTTGATCGATAGGTTATTTCGGTACATGGCCGGGCTCGTTAAACGGCCGCTAACGATGAATTGCCGTTTTACGGGCCATGTGGAGAGATAGGGCAGGTCATGTGTGTATAGCCCGAGCCGCGGTCGCCGGTCCATCTACACCAATGGCTCCACTCACCCTCCACTCGAGAGTGGGCTTAGCGTAGCTCGGCAGGAGCAAATACTGCCGCCAAATCAGATGAGTCACTGGCTGCACTGTAATTTGCTCGGTCACGGCGGGCGCCGGCACACATCACGGAGACGTGCAGGAAATCGATACTTTAACGCATGTTTAAAACAAGCGGCAATGCAGGACGGCATGTTTCCTGTTTTAATTCATTATTATGTAGCCTAAGTACCTGCATGAAGATTTGGCGAAGAATGAGGGAGAGGTGTAGTAATCTTTGTATGCCGTACCACGTGTCTATTCTAGCAGTCAGAGAGCTGTTTCCGTTCGACTTGTTGTAAGGTTTCACCTTCTTGGGTTTTGCCAAGCAGCTCCGATCCATTTCTAAGTCGGGCCGTCGGCCGCTTGGAAAACAACTTTCCTGTGGTGTTATTCTGCATTCAAACAAAGAGACCAGCCGGAGGTGCACTTGTTCGGCTTCTTGTATCGATTATGCCTTCAAGAACAAGTGACGGTCAAGTTAGCTCCGTCAAGTTGCTAGCCATCGAGCCGATGAGCTTGTTACTGAGCTGTGATCACTCTACTGTTTCACCAAATACCAATCACTCACGCTATGAATGTGTGTGGACTGTGGCTGATTGTCTGCTCACGGTCGGCCGAATACTGATGCTCTGCTGTCTGTCCGGTGGCTGTGGGCTGGCACGTATCAGGCCACATCTGACATCGCGCCGCGCCTGCATCCCATGGGCAGTCACATCGGGACCCCTGTCTCCTGATGGGACTCAATTTAGTGCTCTCGTCCAGCCGCGCAGTGCCCTCACAGCTGCTCGCACCAGCTGTGAAGCAGCGCCGGCCATCATGTCGCCTTCTAGTATGCGCATTTAGATGCGGCGAGCGTGAAACAAACAGGCTACAGGTGAGGCCGGCCCATTCCGGTTGCGTTCTGGTCGAGTCGTCGGATCACTTCGGCAGAACCCCTGTTGCAACAGGTGCTGGTTTAGACATTCTGGTCCCGGCTTACCAAACAATAGAATCCGCTGGTGGAGTAAGACGGTCTGTAAGGGTGCTCTTGGTCACGAGCGTTACAGTGACTCACATTGTTTGCGTCACCGAGTTGTTTATCCTCAAACACGGACGCTGGTGAAAAGTAGGCACAAATTGTCAATTTAAAACCACTGTGACGCCCAGAATGTCCATAAAATAACCGAAACTGCACCGCGTATGACCACACATTCATCTCCACCCGACAGCTCAGTCTGTCCGTGCAACCGACGTCGGAGGAAGACGCATTGGTGTTTGCGTTTCCGACCGGGCGCAGCACTGAAATACCGCCCCGTTCATATCCATTATCCAGGCCGGCTCTCTGAAGCTAAAAAATCTTAGAGGACCCAGGTGTGAAGGAATGGACTGGGACAGAACTGTTTTAAAGAATGCGACAGAATGCATACATGCCGGTATGCTGTGAAGATGCGCATTGCGCGGCCTCTTGCTATCGACTTACGTAAGACTTTGGCATACCTTTACTGTCAGTGTGCGTTGGTTTGGTAGAGATACCTCACTGTCAACGGTGCGGCGACGCGGCCCTTAGAAACGTGAGTGAGTAAATATACAACCGCTACAATCCGATACCTACCTATCAGAGTAACTCTGACTCCCATTCTGGCCGATTCCTTTTCGTCAAGCAATAGTTACGAAAATTATGATCGTCTTCCAGAGATGTGTGTCACTTTCCGTCCCGCCTCTTACCCTTGGGTGTACCGCTGTTTGCCATGTCTGCACCGGTGTAAGTTCCACGCTATCGCAGCACGACGCTCCCCGACCCGCCGCTCGGCCTCGACTGACGGACGGGACGGACCGGCACTCGCAGCTCGAACCACAGCGTCACAGTCACGTGACTCAGCAGACACACACCGAGCGGCGCCACCGGTCCGGTCACGTGACCCGCCGGATGAAGGAGTGGTTCCGCGGTCAGAGTCGGAGTCGGCGCGGACCGGCGACGATAGGCGATAATACAGGAAGGACAGGCGCGGGGGCGGGCCTGCGGCGGCGGCACAGCCGAAGATTGTGATAGAGAAGTCTTCTCGAGAAGTTTCAATCAAAGTTCCATGGATTGTTGCCCTCCTTTCTGGCATTCTTCGATTGTCGCCTTGCCATGGATTGTTGCCCTCCTTCCTCGCATTCTTCGATTGTCGGCTGTCGCCGCCGGCATAAGGGATTATACGATGGAGCTCCTTGACTCTGGTGGCTATCAGCAATAGGTAAGGTAACTCAGGGTAGAGTTTAACAGTAACAGCTCCAAAACTCCCCTCCCCGGCAATTCGGCATCCACCACTAGACCCTGACCGCTGCTTCATATGCCGCGTTTAGCACGCTCTTCGTTCTGCAGGGAGTTGGAAATTCGATCTCCTCTAGCCGCCCAAACTGTCCTGGCGCTGCTACCGGTCCTGACAGCGGTGTGAGCTTGAGTCGGATATGGACGGATATGGTCCGACATCCGGCCGGTTTAGTAATAATATGCAGACAACGTCGTACTCGCTGCTCTCCAGTCTCCATTGTCGCACGTGCCGCGCCTGTGGCCATGTTTGCAGTCTATAGGTGGATTTAAACGGCCGGCGCTATGGTCAAGGCATTGATGTGTGAGGAGAGCACTGAGCAGGATGGTGCAGCCAGAAGATGCTACTAGACAGACACCGCACTGGTCAACACGAAGCAAAAGGTGGTCTCGTCTACGAGCTGGCAATGCGTCGACAAACGGCACTGCCCTTGGTCGACGAGCATAACTGTCACTGGTCGAAGAGCGACACTGATCGACGAGTGGCACTTACCGCAGTTCCGACGTGCCGGTGCGACGAAAGAGAAAGTGGCGTTCCGGCCGACCGGCCCGGTGGTCGCTAATGAACGCGGGAACAGCTGGGACGGCGGCGCACAGGCGACAGTGGAACAGTGGGACGGTAAGGACGGGCTGGTGGGACTGTGGGAGGCTGTGAAACTGTAGGACGGGTAATTTAATTTGTGAGGCTGGCTGGTGAGACTTGACTATGAGGACGGGCTACGCGTGAAGGGCTACACGGGCTAGAGTGTGAATTTATAACGGTAGACAGTCTGGGATGGGACTGTTGGGCGGATCGCACTCGCAGTACGCACACATTATCAAGCATATCTTCCCTAATGTCGTTCATGAATCATGATTCTTGTTGACAAGATCTGTAATCTTATATGAGACCAGTGGATCTCTCGAAAAAAGTCATGCCTTTCTGGTATGCATGTCAGGTCTTGGGCTATCTACACGATAACTAGCTCGATATATAGCCCCACTAACAGCAGCGGTGAATCGTAAATTGCAGGATAGCAATCGCACCTTACAACAATCATAAACCGTATCGATAATCTACAGGACTTCACATCAGTATTCCAAAGTTCCGATTCCGGAGTTATTTTTAGAGCGATGATCATACAATATTCCAGATCAAGACCCCATACGATCAGATATCTAGTATCTACCATATCCGTGCAGAGATAGTGGAAAAGACCACCGTGAAACATAGCAGACTGCCCTGTCTCGCAAGGAACACTCGCAAGGAATACCGGTGCCAAACTAACAAACGTCTCATTCCCTCATTCCATTCCGCCTGTAGAGAAAGCAGTGTGCTGACAGCGGCCAGCGGGGCGTCCGGCCCACTAGCAGGCAGCGCCCCACCCACGCCCCAGTATTGAGGCCACCCTGTTCAGGGCGCCAGTTGACCCGGGACCCCGGTGACCCAATAACTCCCCTGACCTTTGACCCGACACGCGCCGGGTGTGAACGAGGAAACCCAACAAGACCGCGGCGCGGTTCACGATTCATCTGCCGAGGAAGTATGTTGGGCTAATGAGCTGCGCAGCGAGCAACACGGCATACATTTTCTGGGTAGGTGAGAAAGGTGAATACAATCTTTTCTGGGATTAAATTATTCCGATGCAATGTGAACCAGCATGCAAAGCACCTGCTGTTTTCTCCCAATCTACTTTTAAACTACCAAAGTTGGCCTAGGCCTCAGGGAGAAACATTCATCCTCGCTTGAGAGTGGGGCAAGTAAAGGGAAAATCCGATTCACTACAGCAGTGCCCCAGCCAGTGAAGCGGTTTGGTTTCGTCCGCCCTCGAAGCATATACATTTGATCTGACTACGAGGCTGGCCATTGGCAGAAACAATTCCGTTAACTCCTCAGACGATGGTAAGATTTACTAATGATGTGTGCACTGTGCAGCATGAGCTAGGGAGGCCCACTGAGGTTGTTTTACGAGCCACACGGCACGCCGTCGCACCCGCCGCCGACCAGCTCCCTGGGTTTCCGGGAAGACGGGGACTGGAGGGATTTCCTTGCCGTCAGTACGGACTGTGTATGACCGTGACGCAGGGGACGGCAAGTCTCCACGTCACCGCCCGGGGCCCCTGAGCAAACTGAGGCGAGCCAAGAGTCACCTTCGCACGGATAAGCACCGACCATTTCGCTTTTTCCACATTCTTATCAAATTCAACACGTTTGCCTCAGACTATTTGATCGTGCGCTGATAACTAAAATGAACTGATAAAAAGAAGGCAGTCGTCACTGTAGAGATTGAAGACTCGTATGGTTTCCGTCAAGCGGCCATTACTGTGAGTGACGATGCAATTAACACCATGTTATGATGTTACAAACGGTGCGGTCACAGGAAAGTGCCTAATGACGCAAGCGCAGTCACCGTTCTCATCAGCTAGGGGCGTAACCACGATTCTGAAGTCGCCATAAGGTGTACCACGAGGCCAGTCGAGAGAGGCAAGGATTCGGTAGGGGAAGGAGAGAGAAACGGAATGAATAGTGGTTAAACGTTCATTCTTCATACGTCTCGGCTCCTTTTTTTAGAATTGGTTGGAATATAGCTTCAAAATCAAGGCAAAGCATGCATCGGCGATCACATTGCTACTGTTCTCATGCCTATAGGAGCTAGGAAATTCACAGCAAAACTGATCTTATCGCTTATCTCGATCTGCCGTGTAAACACGGTACAGTAGGTAAGCGTACAGTAGGTATAAGGCAAGCTATCACAGTTTGACGACGGCCAAGGTCCGTCGTCGCCGTCGTCGTCAAAGTCCAACGACGGCCGAGTTCCGATTTGGCCCAGAATGCCTGCCTTCAAACAAGCTTTACTTATTTATAGTCACCGTGACTTTATGTACTAAGAACGTTCCCAATTACTTGCACCGAAAGTAGCTGGGGACCGGTCTTCAACGACCCCGTGTTTGTTTTCTCGACTTTCGAGACACTCTACCCGACGGAATCGTGGCCCAGCCACAGCCCACAGTCGCACCCGCCCCGCCGACTCACTCATGGCCACCTCCTCCCAGAACTTGCGCAGCCTCTTGGTGAGCTCCTTGCTCGTCTCGGGCCTCGTTTCGGCCATGCTTCCAGCCTCAGTCGCCTCTCGTCACACTCCAGCACACGGGCACAGCCGGCGATAAACTGCCGGCCGGCTATCTAGGTCGGCTGACCTTCGCCTCCCCCGCCACCGGTGCAGACGCCAGAGCCGTCTGGTGGCCGACCGGCGCCACGTTGCACCGCAACGGACCGACTGACCACTCGAGTGACCACTGACCGTGCACCGCGAGACGAGGGCAAATAAAATAACAAGGTAGCACGGATGCCTATCGACTTCCATCATTGGGTTCATATTCGTAATAATGTCACACCTTACTGAAACGAGCTCCAAACCCCGTTTATCCTTTTTTACTTTTGGTCGATAAAATCACCCTTAAAATTATCCTAAGGGCGCAACGCATCATTCCGCATCATTCCAACGCCCCAGAACGTTTCTGACAATGATAACCATGTTCTTACAACTGCAACCCAATGACCTTGCACTCAACAATCCCAGGAGTAAGAAAAACGAGACAAAGTGGGAAAGAGTAGCGCAAAAAGTGGGCACGCCACGGGCATCCGTCCACGGAACTATAGGTATTTGGTTCGGCTCTGATGAGCGGCTTTCACTCGCCTGGAGCCATCACGTCAGCTGCCACGCACCGGTGGAGACGAGGCGGGAACGGCGCAGTCGCTACCGGGACGGACGGGGTGATGACATAGGACGGGAAACGGACGGATGGGGCCGATGGGACGGACGGGTGGCGACAAGGGACGGGACGGGAAGGAAAGGACGGGACGCGACTGACGGGACAGGTGGACGGACGGGAAAGGATAGATGAACGGACGAGCGGGAGGGACAGACGGATTGGACGCACTGATACACGGAACGGAACAACTGGGCTGAAGAAGGATGAAACTTTGGGGTGCCCTACGGGTAAGGACGTGTACGAAATTTAAACATACCTCGGACAGTGTTCGATGTAGGGACTGAGCACCAGCCTGGGATGGTTAATTTAAAATTAGGCAGTGCAGTAAAAAGTACTCACCACGGACGGTGTCTGTTGTCGGCACTCGGGACTCGGGACTCACCTCAGATTGTGTTTGATATTTATCAGAACTCGAAACTCACCTAGCGGTGTCTGATATCGTAACTCGAAACTCACCTCGGATGGTGTCGCTCGAAGGAGTCACGCCCGCCATGGTGTTGTTGTTGTTGTTGATAGAGGTGACGGCCGGTGTCTGGGGCCGCGAAGAGCCCGACTGCAGGCAGCTGGGTACAGACCCCAGCTTAGAGCCCTAGGGTTCACCTGAGGACACGAGACACAGGTCAGCGCAGTCATGTGGCTCGCTTGTGAAAAAAATCCGTAAGTATGCATACTGATATTTTTTCAGTAATCGTACAAGACCGTTTCGGACTAATAAGCACATTCTACAAGCCCTAGTTTGTCGCTCAGGGGAACAAACAGCCAGGGAACCCACTACCCAGCACCTGTTGCTCAAAGGCTCTTCCAAGGATCCACCTTCACCGTGTGGCGCCACGCACCACAGTCACGCACTTACGCACCAAACAACACCGGTTCGAGCTACACGCAACACCGCGGCCACGAGCTGCCGCGTCACGGTACACCGGTGGCCGACCACCGACTGCGGTGGACCGACGTAGGCGTAACTCTCGCCACGCGGCTGGCTGGAGCTCGGCCTCACGCACGGATAGACGGATCGAAGCTGTTCCACGGACGGACAGACGGACGGACGGACGGACGGCGATATTTACGGAGACGATTGCAGGGACCTCGGACTGACGGTTGTACAAGAGGACGATGGTTGCACAGACAGATAGGCAATTGACAACGGACACACATCCATCTAGGAAGACAGACGGTTGAACGGACGAACAGACGAACGGTCGCAAACACAGACACAGTCTGTGTTTGTCAGTCTCGTGACAAACACAGACTGACTACAACAAAAACTGACAGTCTTTAAAACTCACAAACAGTGCAGGCGGTGGATGTGTAGCGAGTGTTACTGGGCTTTGCGCGTTACCACCATCACAGCACCGCCGGGTCGTGGGAGGCGTCACGCTGTACCCACCGTGACGCGCTCTGTCGCGTCACGCCACCAAGTGGCGTCACGCTAAGGAGTGACGTCATCGACACACGTGACGCCATCGCTCTGGCCCGTTACAACAGCCCCACTCCACTTCCAGCCTCCGCTCCATGCACATATATGTTGGGATGAACGAGAGAAAGTATAACACCATGAGCATGGGCGCTGCAAATGCAGGCTCTGATCTAACGGTGCATTTGGTGCAGCCTAATGCATTAGTAGATATGCCCCTAGCTGACACGAATCACGATCACGATTCTCGTGAATACATCGATCTACCATACCGTGGCCACCTTCACTAATCAAGCTGACATCGATGGATCCACTGGCACACATACCTTATGTCTCCTAAGATCCCGTTCACCGTGGCACCGCTCCCTCCGCCCTCCCCCTGCGCTGTCCCGACTGACACTGTCCGGCGGTGTTTGGCCGCCTCGGTCCAGGTCCCCGGCCCTGAGCGTGGTCACGGATCGATTCGGAGCACCGGGCTGCCCCCAACCGCGGCCGGCCAGCGGGGAACTCAGTAGTGGTGGCAACGAAATACATCAATGATCGGCCGAACCGGTGCATATGCACCACGACGCAACAGGGCCAGAATGAACTGGTTTTATCACAGACTTCTGTATACACAGAAGTCTGTGGTTATATATTTTGAACCCACGGGGATGAAAACTTAGTTCGCGTACAGCGGGGCTTCATAATCGGGGTAATATCTACTGACAGATGGTACTCTATTTTTGGCAGGCATTCCCACGTTGTGTGTAGTGGTCGAAAATTGGATAATTTGCCGTCAGTACCCACCTAATTCGCAAGTATCCAGGGGCCCTGTTTCACAGGTGATAGCAGCACGCTGCTTTTACACGTGTCAAATTGGGTTTCCATGGAAACATCAACAGGCCCATTGCTCCAACACTACCACAAGTGTGACGTCAGCTCGCGCAATTTGATAGCAGCGTGGTAGCAGCGCCCCGTGAAACACCGCCAGGGTTTCAAATAGATGGTAGAACAGACTGAATGTTTCTTGAGCTCAATGTCGGAAACGTGTTTCAGGGATGTTTCAAAGCAAAGCTGAAGTATACATCGATGATAATGGACCTCCTCGGTGTTCAGAGACAGATCAAACAACACTTTGATGGTTGCAAATGAAGCTGGCACCACAGGTGATCAGGAAAAGCGACGATATTAAATTATACAACGATAGGAACTTACTTAGTAACAAAAGAGTCACAGTTCTGTGCATTTATTATATCTGCATTGACCATTGTAAAACAACTAGTGACAACAAATAAGCTTATTATCAATGCTAGCCTATGTACTATTGGCAAACATAAAGTATGGCACTGTTAAGTCAGGAACCACTGCTAAGGCAAATAAGTAATGAATTTCCGCACACAACTGACTTTAAGAAACCAAGAATAGGCGTAGTTTGCTTTGCATGAAAACAATCCAATACCAACGCTTTAGATAATGCAGGTCAAAGATGCAGTACTCACATATAGTATCACAGGTGAGAAACTCAACACACCAAATGTGTTATAGCATTGCCAGTCCAAACACAAGGGCATCACCACGACCGTCAAGTTAAAAATCGAATATGCAATTTCGAGTTAAAGGGACCATCCCACCTTAAAGGGACCATCCCACCTTAACATTAGTTTTGAGTTGAGATAGCCAAGTTTGCGGCCAGGCTCAGAAACCACCATTTATCCTGGTCGCAACCCCCGCAGCTTTATGGTGTTCAAGAAATTTCTTCCCTTTACTTGCAGGGTGGGACCAGCTTAGTCCCTATCTCTTAACCATTAGCGGTTTGTTGATGACGTCAGCAGTCATTTCAACGCCCGCCATTCCTTGAACCCGAGTTTTGCTGACCTTGAGCTCCCTTTTTTATCATCGTGAAATCCGTCGTCGGCGCTGAGAAAGCCTATTGCTTTTCATTTTAATTTGAATATTAGATGATACCCACCACTGGAACTTGGACTGATATTATACCAAGGCCGAAGATGATCAAGCTGCCTGCTATATCTGGAGCTTGGTGTTCAACTTCAACATGGAATGAAAAACAAAATATCAAAGCAAACTGGATATGGTACTGCAAGTTTAAGTCCAAAGAAATTTGAAGAGCTGACAATTGACATTAATTCTTTTCCCGCAAGGTTTCCATAGGAGATCACACCATGAAGAAATATTTTTGATGTTAACAGTTGAAAGGGGATTGATCTTCCAGTTTTGACGAAAGACGCTGCTGACTGTCTTTGGAAAAGGATGTCGGCATGAGGTGCAATTGTGCTTGTGAAGTGGTTATAACTGGTCTTTTCACAGTGTTAAATTAAATGTGCCATTGCAGCCAAGTGTGTTATCATGTAAGGTAAAATCAAAACTACAATGTTGGTTTTACGAGCATTGAGAAGGCTGGTAGGTAACACCTGCCTGTGCTCGTAAATCATGCTGCCAAAGTATTCTAAATTAATTTTATCATACACTTTTGTTGTCCAGAATGGTTGCACTATTGTTTGGTATCATATTATTCCATGTACAGTCTGTCTTAAAAGTACCGCGCAAAGTGGCGGTGGATCCATCAAGCCTGACCGAGAAAGGTCTGCTTTAATTTGAAAGTCACCGAACCAATTGAGCTGGGGAATGGACGAGGATGTCCATTGCTTCGGTGACCCAAATTTAGCAGGCCCTTCCTCAGTCAGGCTCGATGGATCCACCGCCACTTTGCGCGGTACTTTTAAGACAGACTGTACATATGGTAGTGTTACGTCCGACCAACATGTTACCAGATTTGAAGCTGTTACGTTACCTAAGTACCTAGGTACCTGTTTTTTTACTGGCGTGGTGAATGTCACCTGGATTTTGTTTTGAGGTGCAGACCTAGTAACTCTGACTACATGGGTTTGAAGCTATTATCTATTCTGTTTTTACTGGCCTGGTGAATGGCGACTGATGTTGTCCGTGGATGGCACTGAAACAAATTTTGAGTGTCAACTGCCATGTACAGTGTTTTAATACAATGCTGAGGGCTGAAAGTTGTCTTGTTTAGAGTGGTGAAAGTTCAGGATATGCCAGCCACCATGGTGGGTCAGAGTTAAAGGGACCATCCCACCTTAACATTAGTTTGGAGTTGAGATAGCCAAGTTTGCGGCCAGGCTCAGAAACCACCATTTATCCTGGTCGCAACCCCCGCAGCTTTATGGTGTTCAAGAAATTTCTTCCCTTTACTTGCAGGGTGGGACCAGCTTAGTCCCTATCTCTTAACCATTAGCGGTTTCTTGATGACGTCAGCAGTCATTTCAACGCCCGCCATTCCTTGAACCCGAGTTTTGCTGACCTTGAGCTCCCTTTTTTATCAACGTGAAATCCGTCGTCGGCGCTGAGAAAGCCTATTGCTTTTCATTTTAATTTGAATATTAGAAGATACCCACCACTGGAACTTGGACTGATATTATACCAAGGCCGAAGATGATCAAGCTGCCTGCTATATCTGGAGCTTGGTGTTCAACTTCAACATGGAATAAAAAACAAAATATCAAAGCAAACTGGATATGGTACTCCAAGTTAAAGTCCAAAGAAATTTTGAAGAGCTGACAATTGACATTAATTCTTTTCCTGCAAGGTTTCCATATGGAGATCACACCATGAAGAAATATTTTTGATGTTTACAGTTGAAAGGGGATTGATCATCCAGTTTTGACGAAAGACGCTGCTGACTGTCTTTGGAAAAGGATGTCGGCATGAGGTGCAATTGTGCTTGTGAAGTGGTTATAACTGGTCTTTTCACAGTATTAAATTAAATGTGCCATTGCAGCCAAGTGTGTTATCATGTAAGGTAAAATCAAAACTACAATGTTGGTTTTACGAGCATTGAGAAGGCTGGTAGGTAACACCTGCCTGTGCTCGTAAATCATGCTGCCAAAGTTTTCTAAATTAATTCTATCATACACTTTTGTTATCCAGAATGGTTGCACTATTGTTTGGTATCATATTATTCCATGTAAATATGGTAGCGTAAAGTCCGACCAACATGTTACCAGATTTGAAGCTGTTATGTTACCTAAGTACCTGTTTTTTACTGGCGTGGTGAATGTCATTGTCACCTGGATTTTGTTTTGAGGTGCAGACCTAGTAACTCTGACTACATGGGTTTGAAGCTATTATCTATTCTGTTTTTACTGGCCTGGTGAATGGCGACTGATGTTGTCTGTGGATGGCACTGAAACAAATTTTGAGTGTTTTGTACAGTGTTTTAATACAATGCTGAGGGCTGAAAGTTGTCTTGTTTAGAGTGGTGAAAGTTCAGGATATGCCAGCCACCATGGTGGGTCAGAGTTAAATGTGTTGCAGTCAGTTCGGCTTCGGCAAGCACACGGATGGGCATACGCATCAAGACCTGCTCTGCCATACTTTCAGCCAATTTTACCTGGGTAAGTCTTTTCTTTTTTCTGCCAAAAGCTATGACATTGTGAATTTCAGCACTGTGGCCTGTGTGTAGCTTTCAGGAAAGCAATTCTAAATAAAGCTCTGATAAAGTGCAAAATCAGCAATGCAGCCCTCTATTACATTTTCTACAACATCTTACTTGTTCCTTGCATGGAGAGAAAAATGCAATGTTATGATTTCGTTTATTCACATAATTTGACAAGCATGCAGTTACCTGCTACTATCACTGCACAAAACAGAGCAGAAAACATCAGTTGATCAAACACAAGGCATAACAGAAGTTTACAACATAGGGCTGCCGAACCTGCTTCCTCCCACCACAGTTGATGCCATTTCCTAGCCTGGCTTGATGTGAGCACTGAATAGCTGCTTTGTCTAATTACAGCTCACTACCATTCAACTTAAACTACTATCTTTAAAGTAAGAGTGAGAGCGTTCAGTGTTCATAGCAGCTCGACAGACGACAGACAACAAACATCTTGACAAACCAACCAGTATTTGATTTGGCTAATGATTTATGTGCTTGTTGTATCATGGCCAAACTACTTTAACAGCAATAATCCCTGTTTCATCTTGAGCTTGCTTTTATTTCCATTTGAACTCAGATCTTGAAACAATCATCTGAAGTGATATCAGATACTGGCTTCTGCCTTCTGTTTCTCTTGAAAGCAAGTTAAAACAACAATGATAAACTAAGGCAGGAGATGTGAGTTGTGGCAGTAGATTTTTGATTCAACATATGTCAACCTTATATTGCTTGAGACCTCTGTGACAGACAAACAAATATTTATAGTTTTTTGATAGTTTGGATTCTTGGCTTGATTTAGCAGATCAGCTGTGAACCTTGACTTTGAAATCACCGTCATGGTACCCGAACGAATCCTCGCATGACATTTCTTCGTAGCACAATTTTTCGTCCGCATTTCTTCGTCTACAAATCTTCGTCGGTGCATTTATTTGTCCCTCAATGCTTACTCTTGCATATATTTGCGTTGAAGAAGAAATGCGAGCCGTTTTTCATATACCCTGGTGCGAGACAAAGTAATGCGATAGGTACGAATAAATGCCCTGACGAAGATTTGCAGACGAAGAATTGCGATACGAAGAAATGCCATAAGAATTGTCCTGGAATCCTTTATTGGCCATCATATATTGACCTTGTTAAGATAAACGCGTCATTCGCGCAATATCTGTCGCACTTTGATACCAAACTATTGCTTCCAAATGCCGACGTAAAGAAAACATTTATGTGACGTCATAGAAACAGCGGATTTCCCAAAAAGTAAACAAAAATAAAAGTCTTATATCTCGAAAACGGGTGAATATTTTCCGGTAAAATTTGGTAGATGTTCATTTTCGCTCTTTGTGATTCACGCTACATCACTTTTATGCCAATTCATTAACTTTTTTGAAGGTGGGAGGGTCCCTTTAATGTGTTGCAGTCAGTTCGGCTTCGGCAAGCACACGGATGGGCATACGCATCAAGACCTGCTCTGCCATACTTTCAGCCAATTTTACCTAGGCAAGTCTTTTCTTTTTTTCTGCCAAAAGCTATGACATTGTGAATTTCAGTGCTGTGGCCTGTGTGTAGCTTTCAGGAAAGCAATTCTAAATAAAGCTCTGATAAAGTGCATGAAATCAGCAATGCAGCCCTCTATTACATTTTCTACATCTTACTTGTTCCTTGCATTGAGAGAAAAATGCAATGTTATGAATTCGTTTATTCACATAATTTGACAAGCATGCAGTTACCTGCTACTATCACTGCACAAAACAGAGCAGAAAACATCAGTTGATCAAACACAAGACACAACAGAAGTTTACAACATAGGCCTGCCGAACCTGCTTCCTCCCACCACAGTTGATGCCATTTCCTAGCCTGGCTTGATGTGAGCACTGAATAGCTGCTTTGTCTAATTACAGCTCACTACCATTCAACTTAAACTACTCTCTTTAAAGTAAGAGTGAGAGCGTTCAGTGTTCATAGCAGCTCGACAGACGACAGACAACAAACATCTTGACAAACCAACCAGTATTTGATTTGGCTAATGATTTATGTGCCTGTTGTATCATGGCCAAACTACTTTAACAGCAATAATCCCTGTTTCATCTTGATCTTGCTTTTAATTCCATTTGAACTCAGATCTTGAAACAATCATCTGAAGTGATATCAGATACTGGCTTCTGTTTCTCTTGAAAGCAAGTTAAAACAACAATGATAAACTAAGGCAGGAGATGTGAGTTGTGGCAGTAGATTTTTGATTCAACATATGTCAACCTTATATTGCTTGAGACCTCTGTGACAGACAAACAAATATTTATAGTTTTTCGATAGTTTGGATTCTTGGCTTGATTTTGCAGATCAGCTGTGAACCTTGACTTTGAAATCACATAAATGTCATGGTACCCGAACGAATCCTCGCATGACATTTCTTCGTCCGCATTTCTTCGTCTACAAATCTTCGTCGGTGCATTTATTTGTCCATCAATGCTTACTCTTGCATATATTTGCGTTGAAGAAGAAATGCGAGCCGATTTTCATATACACTGATGCGAGACAAAGTAATGCGATACGAATAAATGCCCTGACGAAGATTTGCAGACGAAGAATTGCGATACGAAAAAATGCCATAAGAAGAATTGTCCTGGAATCCTTTGTTGGCCATCATATATTGACCTTGATAAGATAAACGCATCATTCGCGCAATATTTGTCGCACTTTGATACCAAATTATTGCTTCCAAATGCCGACGTAAAGAAAACCTTTATGTGACGTCATAGAAACAGCGGAGTTCCCAAAAAGTAAACAAAAATAAAAGTCTTATATCTCGAAAACGGTTGAATATTTTCCGGTAAAATTTGGTAGATGTTCATTTTCGCTCTTTGTGATTCACGCTACATCACTTTTATGCCAATTCATTAACTTTTTTGAAGGTGGGAGGGTCCCTTTAAAGTGGACAACGTCACGATGTACGCATACGTGATACGTATGCCATAATTTTCTGCAAATGAACGACAAAAATGTGCTCTTTTGGCTAACTATGCTCCGCACAAAACTCACGTGCATACATATAACCCTCGCCGGCCGAGGGGGGGGGGGGGGGCGGGTGCCGCCCCCCCCATAGGGTTTTTTCGCGATAGCTCCGAACACGCTGGCGATAGAGAGCTGAAACTTGGCATACCTGACCTTTGATCCAAGCCGCATCTTTTGACACCAACCGCATTTTTGGGTCAGGTCAGGTCACTGACCTATGACGTCATAAGTGAACCTCTGCACGGTCTTCAGATGTCGCAACTTCGCAACGCCCTCACTGCCAGAGGAGATGTCACAGGGAAATGAAACTTGCAGGATCTAGTATCCATTATGAGTCTCACAACTTGTATATCTCGGATTTTTCCTAAAGGTCATATGAGGTCAGGTCATTTTCGTGACCTCACCATTATAAGTCAATGGGGAAAAATGAAAACTGCTATTCTGGCGCCGGGAACGATCTCCAACTATCTTAAGCACACAGAATCGTGATTTGATGCACTCCTTGCAAGGTTAGATGCGTCACTTTTGCAATGTTGACCTTGCGTGACGTCATTTATGACGTCATCAAGGTCATATTAGTTTTTCGTCAATAACTCTTGATCAAATTGAGCTAGCGAGTCGAGAAAGCCACCAATGGACTCAGGAAGACCTGCCAAATCTAATGATATGCGACATGACCTCTTTCGACCAACTTCGTGACCTGGGGGTGCTGACCTGACCTTGACCTGAGGTCAACACCCCAAGTTGACCTGACCCGGACAAAAAGTATATCATTCGACGCGCCTGAGCGAGGCGAACACGATGCTGCCAAAATCGCGGCTCTGCGGCCGTTTTTTGCGAAGTTATTCACCAAAAACTGAACCGTACCCTGGGGCACTTGACCTGACCTCAGAGGTCACCGGTTGACCTAGGACCTTAAAATCGGGTACCAATCTCTGCGTCTCGTAACGGCGCACACGCTCGTTTTTTCCGCGACGCGCTAGCTCCACCAGGGGCGAAACGGCGAGGGGGGGGGTCGTACCCGCCCCCCCCCCCCCTCGGCCGGCGCGTATGTAGAAAACCAATAGGTCCGGCGAGGGATAAACATAGACCTATTTCAACACACGCAACCGCATTGACATTTGACACATACCGACACATAACATACACACAAAACGGAAGCTCAAGGCCTTTCATGTGAAGATCTTCCCTCGGAGCTGTTCTTTCTCCTCAGCGAGTTTCTCCTTCTCTCTGGCTGCCAGTGCGGCCAGTTCGCGGCGCACCGCTGCCGCCACGCACGGATCGAGCTCTGCCGCCCGGTTCAGGTCGGCACGTGCTGCCTCAGTCTCCCAGACCCGTGCACGCGCACGGCCCCGCCGGAACAGCGCCTTTACGTCGTCCGGCCGCGCCTCCAACACCGTGGAGCAGTGCTCGATCGCTGCGTAGTAGTCATCCTCCAGCAGCTTGCACTGGGCGAAGTTGAGGAGCAGCGGCAACTTCAGCTCGTTGAGTTTGTTCCACTCCACGTCCTGCGGCTTCTCTCGTAACATCAGCGATTCGAGCCGTCCCAGCGCGTCGGCGTACTTCTCAGCGGCCGCCTCGTGCTTGCCATCTCGGTATAGGGCGTTGCCGCGCTCGCGCAGCTCGGTAACTGAGGCGAGCTTTTCCTGCTCGTTGAGCGCCCACGACTCGCGCTCGTAGTCGCTCTTGGCCTCTGCAGAGAGCAGCTCGATGACGATGCGCAGGTTCTGTGGCCGCTGGAGCAGGCCGTCCAGGTCCGGGTAGCCGATCTGCGGCTGCTGGGCGGCCATCATCATCCCGCAGCAGCCGGAGGCAGTCGGCGGCGGCTTGTGCGCCGGGTCCCACGCGGCGCGCAGCGTCTTGGCCACGATCGGGTAGGCGTGCAGCAGCGCCTTGTCGATGGTGAACTCCGCTACCTCCCCCAGCAGCATCGTCTTCACGCACGCCTCGAGCACCTCGAGTTTGAACTGCTTCCCCAGTATCAGCTCCATGGGCTTGTATTTGCGCGAATCGTCGAGTAAGACCGGCTCCTCATCTGTCGTCTCCGATCGGAAATGAAACTTGACCCGGTCTCCGTCGGCGAATGGTGGCAGGGAGCCCCGGCCGGCATGCAGCACACGCTTTTTCACGCGCTGGTCCATCGTTAAACCTGAGGGCAGAGTTGGAATAGGTACTACTAATCCCTTCTTGTTTGATACCTACCATGCAGTTCTGTTTGTAAACAAAGTAATTGACATATCTTTGTCAAAAAGTTAGCACTTTTATGATTAGTTAGGGCATTCATCCCCTGTGAAGAGGATGGTAGGTACTATTCCAACTCTCCACCTCAAGTAAGTCTAAGGTAGATGTTTAACTGCTCAAGGGGAATAGTTCACTTTTCTAAAAATTAGTTCTTTGCAATGGATTTATAATTTTTATGTTCAAAAGGATCAGGAAAATAAAATAAAACCTGTTAATAAAAAATTGTATTTTAATATGGGAAGAACTAACCCCGCGTTCGATGTCTCCCGGACGGCGAAGATTCTACGCCGTCCGGCCAATCACGTTCCATAACCGCTGCCGAGCCCCCGCTGACCTTGGACGGGATTGGCCGGACGACGTAGAATCTTCGTCGTCCGAGAGACATCGAACGCGGGGTATATTCTATATAAAGTCATACCCCGCGTTCGATGTCTCTCGGACGGCAAAGATTCTACGTCGTCCGGCCAATCACGTTCCATAGCCGCAGCCGAGCCCCCGCTGACCTTGAACGGGATTGGCCGGACGGCGTAGAATCTTTGCCGTCCGAGAGACATCGAGCGCTGGGATAATTCGACGCGGAAGCGCGTCTTGGCTGTAAGCAGCATGCTGATTGGCTGACGATGACGTGGCTGCATTCCTCAGCAAGGCACGCATTCCTCTGCAAGGCACTCTTTGCGGAACAAGAAATGGAATATCTTCGTCTAGGGTGATCCTTGGGTCGTAAAAGCTCCTGATTTGTGCTAGTTTCAGCTCAAGCTACGAGACTGCTGTTCCAGTTCAAAACCGGAAACACCATGTTAAAAGTGGACTATTTCCTTTAATATGCTTATTAGTATAAGTAAAAGCATATTTGCTTAAGTCAAAGATCTGAGAAAAAGCATCTGAAAAAATGCATATATGGGAAGCATAAGTTGAGTGTTCTGGCAGGGCATGGAACTGACAGATTCATATCAATTATTTTCATCCTCTACAGCATCAAAAGTAATTGAGAGCTGATGACCAAAGAAAATAAATTCTACTTTCCAGAGCAAAACAGAGCAAACTGAAGCTGAGTATCAGAGCAAATACTTCAGTGCCTTCACCAAGAATAGCAGAATCCGAATGGAATAACTACTGCCTAAGAAAGCAAAATATGAAGTTTGGGGCAGGCAAATAATGACCAGGCTATTCCCATGATGCAGACCCTCTAAAAAAAAAACAAAAAAAACAGGGAAATCTAATTAAAGATTTAAAAAACCTTAAAGTTTAATTTTTCATGGTACACCACATGCCTTGTGCTGCCATGATGATGAGCACCCTGCATGTTGGGTCTTTCAGTTGGGTCTGATATACTGATATGTTCAATAATGGTCTAATTTTATGCACATTATAATATATTCTCTGGGCCTGGGGAGTTACTAAAATGCCCTTCCTTTATGCACACAAACATTAAAGGGAATATACCTAGTACCTACCAGGCCAGCAAGTACCACTTTCCTCAAATCAGTTTTTTTAACAGTTTTACAAGTTGTTATGCATAAAATTAAAAAGGAATTTTCAAATTATTTTCATACAGTTAGAACTATAGGTAATAGTAGAGCAAATGTCACACAAAGGTTTTCCAACCAAGGAGAGGCGCTATACCTGGAGATGCTTCCTCCTAACCAAACCAAAACAAACCTCCCTAACATGACCAAACCTACAACCTACAAACCTACAACCTACATCTACAAACCTACAGCGCCTCTCCTTGGTTGGAAAACCTTTGTGTGACGTCTGTTCTACTATGTTGAACTATAGGTAGGTAGGTACTCCATTAGTATTAAAGGAAAAGTGCCACCTTCGTGAAATATGAAGATATCGTTGTTTTTCATTTTGACATTATTATTTTTCATTTTCTTTTTAAAACTGGTGCCAGAAGTGCACAATTCGCGAAAAAGTATTTAAAACTATTTAACATATTGGTACTATGTTGATACTCTCTACGGCACCTACTGTATGATGGCATAGCGATGACGTCACACTCAAGCCAATCAGCGTTCAGAAGACAGACTCGTCGGATTGTGTCAGATAAGCTGATTGGTTAAAGCTGAGCTGGTTGGAGCTGATTGGTAAAAAACCAAAGCCTCGCCGCGGGTGGCTGTATTGTCGGATAAGAACGCATTCCTGGGATAAGAACGCATTCCTGGCGTATTTTCTTTTAAAATTGCCGATAACTACGAATGGAGGCCGAAATCGGCCGTAAGGAGGTAGACAGATAGGTTTTCGGACACGGGCTACAAGATGGCCATCTCAGTTTAAATCCCCATGTTAAAGGTGGCCCTTTTCCTTTAATATAGAGGCTTAATATTGCTTGCAGTGGCTGAAGCCTATTTCGCATTGACCAATCATACTCTGGATCAAATATGGTGATGAAATCGACCAATAACATGGCAGTGAGATATATTTTTATAAAACAAAACAAGGCCGAAAATATAGAACTATATCAATATATATATATATATATATATATATATATATATATATATATATATATATATATATATATATATATATATATATATATATATATATATATATATATATATATAGGAAGCAGAGGAAGCAGAGGCAGACACCAAAGCTACCGCGACAGCGCCTTCTACGGGAGATGGAACCACAAGCTTGACTTCCAGAGGAAAGAAGTCTCCTGAGGCTGAAGCTACAAATGAAAACCAAGACGGCGTGTTCACCAGGACAAGGAGTCGTAGCGGACGTCAGATAGGAGACGCTTCCTCTCAGATAGCAAGTCGTGGCTCGGAGATCACCGCGAGCTCAACTGAAACAGAAGGGCCTCAGCCGTCGAATGATATTGCGCCAGGTGACCCACAGAGCAGGGGTGAGCTGAAAGTATTTTACCAGTCGATTATGTCGTCTGCGTATAAGAAAGATGAAAAAGCAATTCGTAGCATTGTGATGAATAACTGTGTCCCCATCAACCCGAATGATAACCTGAAAATGATCATTTACTATAAGAGCCCCACTGTATCTAGCCTTGTCATGAAAAACAACTTGAGTCACGTTTCATCGTTGTTACGGTCGACCAATGTAGTGTACAAGTTCAAATGCCCTGTTGGTGACTGTGTACACTATTCCAATCGTGCCTACATTGGACACACCGTAACAACGATGAGCCGTAGGATCACAATGCATCTCCAGGACGGTGCACCTTTGCGACACATGCAGCAGGAGCACAGCCTGGAGCTCGCGCGAGATATGATGGTGCAAAACACATCTGTCTTAGCACGATGCTCGAACAGGAAGAAGCTGCAGGCTCTGGAGGCCGTGTATATTCGTGACAGTGATCCCTGGATCAACAGGCAAATGAACTTGCGTGGTTCGCTGATGGTGTTTGATTCGGCGCCTCTCAAAGCCCGGATCTAGATTCCCTAGACTCTAGCCACGTAGGTCTGTAGTAGCTAAGAGTTAGGACCCCATGTATGTATCCGACAGTAGAAGTGCTCCTGTTGAACGCAGCGTGCAACATTGCATTTAACTAGTGGAGTGTAAGATGATTTCACCCAAGATTTCACCGTGCCGATAGCGACTAATGTGCATCATTTACGATTATGCGAATCATTTATAGCATTATTTATCCCATTCCTGTGTATATGTTCGCCTGAATTTATCACCTGATGATGTTCGATGTCCGAACGAAACGTCGTATATAATAGAGAATCATTCTCCAACATCCTTTTTGAACATAATAGTGAACAAGACAGCTAATCCGACGAATCGAGAACCTTCATAAGAAAGTCAACAACGCTCAAACTGCTGTTAATTTTAATCTCAAATGCATATATATATATATATATATATATATATATATATATATATATATATATATATATATATATATATATATATATATATATATATATATATATATATATATATATATATATATATATATATATATATATATATATATATATAATATATATATATATATATATATATATATATATATATATATATATATATATATATATATATATATATATATATTCGGCCTTATTTGGCTCTATATTTTCGGCCTTATTTTGTTATATAAAAATACATCTCACTGTCATGTTATTGGTCAAATTCATTACCACATTTAATTATTTGATCATGGCAAAACCGACCATTCAATACATCAATACTCTGGATCGGTTGGTATTGGACTCTGGACAGAGTCCAATACCAACTGCATGATCATTGGCTGATGCTGGCCTCTGCAACAGGTGGCTGTATTCTTGGCATCCTTCGCTACAGCACTAATTTCCTGCGTGTGGCAGATTTCGGAACAAGAATACTGATAAGAAGATCGTTCAGCTGCATTGATGCGACTACCCTGCCGATCCTCTTCAAAACGCTGGTACGACCCCATCTAGAATATGGGAACCTCATCTGGGGGCCCTTCAACCGAGCTGATCAGAGGCTGATTGAACGAGTGCAGCGGAGAGCAACCAAACTGGTCCGAGAGCTGAGACACTTGCCCTATCAGGAACGCCTCCGGCGCCTCAAGCTCCCATCAATGTACCACCGAAGACGGAGAGGAGACGTAATCGCCATCTTCCAGATTTTGACGGGTGGAGTTAACGTTCGGCCGGACCAGTTTTTCGAGCAGGCAGTGTCATCTGTCACCAGAGGACATGCTCTGAAGCTGTTGAAGCCTCAAGCTACTTCAAGACCCAGGAGAAACTCTCTATCGGTCCGCGCCATCAACGACTGGAACGCGCTTCCTGCCTCTGTGGTCCTCTCTACGTCTGTCAATCTCTTCAAAGCCCGTCTCGACTCTCACTGGGGTGATGCATCCTTTGACATCCCAGTCCAAGATTCATGACTGTCACTAGTAAGGAGCTCGATGAGATCAGATCCCTACAGGCCTTATAGGCCTCAAAATTCTGTATTGGTAAGGTAAGGTAAGGTAAGGTAAGAAATAATCTATCCATGCCCAGGGGCAGGGCAGGGCAGGGTAATCGTTGGGCAATAAAAGCTCCTGATTTGTACTAGTCTCAGCCCAAGCTTACAAAACATTTATTCTAGTTCCAAACCCATGTTACAAGTGGTATATTTCCTTTAAAGGGACCCTCCCACCTTAACATTAGATTTGAGTTGAGATAGCCAAAATGGGGTCCCTGGCTCACAATTACCGGTTTCGGTACTCACAACATCGAGAAATGCCTTAAATCGGAAATATTGAATTTCAAAATTGCAGCATTTTGATTCAGAGGGGCTAATGCTAAGGAATACCCCTCTGAATGTGTGACGTCAGCGCAAATATCTAACGATTTTTAAATGTTTGACGTTTTGTACGTTTTGTACGTTACGTTTTGTAGCACGCGGTGGTATATGCTATTTGCGCGCAACATCTGCCGCAAACGCCGCACTTCTAAAATAAAGTCGCTAGAAACAGCGGAGATCCCAAAAAAGTAAACAAAAGTAAAAGTCTAATATCTTGAAAACCGGTGAATATTTTTCGGTGAAATTTGGTAGATATTCGTTTTCGCTCTTTCTGAACCGAGCGACATTACTTTCATGCCAATTCATAAACTTTTTTGGAGGTGGGAGGGTCCCTTTAAAACGAGATGCTAGGAAGGCATCACGTCAATGTCGATGTCAAGGTCATATGGTCAAGGAAGCGGGCAAGGTAAGCGCGGTGAAATTGTGCTTCAAGGTTCATTGCTACTGAAGTCAAACTTCTCCATTGAACGTTGTTTTCATTGACAAATCACATAAAATTAAAGAAAAATGAATGACATAGGTACTGAGAAAATAAATTTATTCCTACCTGCCCCCACTCTTTCAGTTTCCGGCCCGCGCTTGGCCCGCGCCAGAAATGTACAGATTAATCAAGGATGACAAAATGCAGTAAGATCCAGGCTTGGGAACATAAAAATGTATTTCTGACGTCACTATAAAGGAAAAAGAGGAAAGGGGATGTTTTCTAGTGCCAGAAAGTGATTCAACAGCCAATACTGCGAATTTTCTAAAAATATATCTAAAGATGTTTATTTTATTCATCTTTGTTCATAATAACAGTTGAAAAGCAACAAAAACTGCTAGCAAACTCGCAGGCTTTCGCACATGCTAAGAACATTGAAAATAGTAAAAAGAGCCCAGAGTGTACGTACTTTTTCATAAAAATTGTACAAAATTTCATTTCTAGCCCTCCTAAAAAAACAATTTTTGTCGTCAATCACCTTGAGATTTAGATATTTTTATTTTTTATTTTTTGGCGTCACAAGCCATCGACATTCAACTACTTTCACTCTTACTTTCAACCTTGAGGCAGTTGGATTGCGGCAAAACCGGCGCGGTAAGTTGTCGAGTTGTTATTGTAAAAAAAATTATGTGTTTTTTTCCAGGATTTTTGCTGTATTTGCTTTTGAAGTGTGACCATGACCTTCCCAGTTACTTATTATGACATTTGTATTTCTTATCATGTCCCTATTGTAGCTGTAGTAGTGGAGTCTATGTTCGTTCAATGTTCATTCATACCAATTCAATAGGTATCCTTTACCTGATTCCCTCCCTGGCTAATAATTTATTGTGTCTTTTCTGTTGTTTTGTTATTTTTTAGGACTGCCAAATACTGAATATTTGTTTTCAGTATTTTGCTGGAATGCATGGGTGTCAATTTACGCCAAGTTCGGGCCTGGGGGTGCCCTGCCCGGGTGTAGCAAATCCGCTGCCGCCTTAGCTGTGACCTTGACCCGCACCGTTTGTTGGGGCTCCAAAGCTAAGCTAGCTGGTCTGGCGGGAATTTGGAGAGCTTGGGCACCCCCAACCAGACAGTAATTAACGCCCATGCTGGAATATTTAATGCATCCCACTTATTTTAACAGATGCAATTGGCAATGATGGCAGCTGACTCATCAACAGATAAGGTGTCTGTGGCCAACATTATCATTGATATGTGGGACCTTGTGAACCAAATTCTTGAACAACAGACTCTGCTTGAAAACTGGATGAAAGGGGGCTTCATGAACATCGCCAAAGCAAGGTAGGCAATTTGAGACATTGAGCATTGCTGATGTGCTGCCTCAGTGATAGTGTCAGGGAGAATTTGCATCAGTATAGTATTCTTCTCTTTTGACATAATCTATGGAATTTCACCAAAGGGAATGTCCTAAAACATCACTCTGGCTTGAATCATGTAAGTGTTAAGAATAAATGTAGTAATTATTTATTTAACCCGCGCCCTGCTGGGGGTCCTGGATTTCCACGCCCTGCTGGGGGGGGGGGGGTGTTTGAACACCCCCCCCCCCTTGTAACTCGGCTCCTGGGCCACGTAGCGATACGCGGAAGGCGGCGTTCGAAAGAGCGTAAAAAATAATGACGAAATCACTTCGGTCAATTTTTTGGTCAGGTCAAAGGTCAGGTCACCAGAGGTCATTGAATGCAAAATTTCGCCGATTTCCAGGTCGAATGTCGAAAATTTCCAAGAAGCCAACGCATAACTCGGGAACCAATAGAGCTACAGCGCCGCGGAAAAGCGCATTCGATAGCCCTATTAACGCTCTTTCTGAGTAATTCTCTCAGATTTGACCTAACGTCAACAGTTTTGCCTGCAGGGGGCAAAAACTGCAAAAATTGCCGATTTTTTCGAAAACAGTTTTTCTGCAATAACTTTTGACCCAAGCCTTGTACGAGCTTACTTTTACCGGCATCGTGTTCCTCTCGTCAAGACGCATCGAATGAACTATAACTTGACCTTGAAAGGTCAACTTGAAAATTTGACCTCAGGTCAAGGTCATGACCTGACCGGAAAGGGTCATGTTGCATATCAGTCGATCCGTATCGTCGAGCTGAACACATCTAAGGCGTTTTCATCGCTCTAGCATGCCTCTATCAAAAGTTATTTGCGAAAAACTGTTAGATACCATTCGTGACCTAAGATGACCTCAGGGCATAAACAAGGGTCACGGACACCATTTTCAAGTTCAGTGTGTCTAAACCACTTGTAATTCGGTGTTTGGGAGTGTTTATAATGTCTTTCATCCAAAAGAGGCGCATTTCAATTTTATCCCATTGACTTATAATGGGGAGGTCGCAAAATTGACCTGACCTTAGGTCATCGATATCAAAATTCTGAGATATACATTTTTTACATGCTATTGCTCTTAGCAATCGCTGAAAGTTTCAAAGCGATCGGTCACTCGGTGTAGCTATGACAGACATTGAAAGTTTTTATGAGGTGAGGTCACTTCAAGTGACCGGAGGGGTGTTCACGGGCACCGCACACTGCTGCGTGCGGTGTGTGCGGTGCTTCCAGCAGGCGTGGGGGTAGGGGATGGGTAGGCGGCTCTGACGTCACGGCTGCGTGCGGTGGACGGTCCGCTGTGGCCAGTCCCGACCGGCCACAGCGGTCGCTGTGTGCGGTGACGGAATGCTGACGTAGGGACGCAGTGGGCGGAGCTTGGAGGCTGTGTGCGGTTCTAACAGCCCTCTGGTGACCTGACCTTGAATGACCTTGGTCTGAAATTTTCACAACATGTGTAGAATTGATGTATGATAAGGTGTACCAAAAACGGCGGCGCTCCGCGCCGCCGTTTTTGAGATATTCGCGAAAAACCACAAGGGGGGTGTTCAAACACCCCCCCCCCAGCAGGGCGCGGGTTAAGAACTTCTGTTGACATACTTTTTAACATAGTTTTTTATGCTGTTTTCTGATTAATTGACAAAAATCTGAATTGGTCATCGTTATTTTCGTTTTTAGGCAGCAGTATTTTTCATAACAAAATGTGAAATTTGGCACACTGAAACAAGAGATTAGAAGTTAAAATGAAATAAATCTCTGTGGAATGGTGATTTGATTAGCTAATAATTCTCATCTACACAATCTTGAATCGATGTTTTCACTTTTTTAACTAACTTAATAGGGCCATGGGAAGAATTGAAGAGTAATCTTGCATGGTAGTTGTGATTTATGTACCCCTAGTACAGCTGGCAAATCAAATGTGTATGGCACAAGCTGCCTGCTGACAGCAATATGTGTGCATTAGGTACGTGATGGGTCAGCACTCTGTGGGCGAGAACCAGCTGCCGTCTGGTGATCGTGAGATCAGCGCCGGCCTGCTGGTGACTCGCGACCAGGCGCCTCCGGAGGCCGCCGAGCCGGCCGCGTTCACCCTCTCGCCGCAGTCGAGCGACACCGAGCCGCTGCGCTGGTTCTCGGCGCTGCCGCCAGGGGCGCTGCGCGACGCCCAGCGGCAGTTCCGCCGAGCCGCCGAGATCAGCTGCGAGGTCGCATCGCTGAAGAGTCGGCTGCAGGCGATGATGGCGAGGCTGAGTGATGCCAGGAAGGAGTCTGAGGTGGAGGGTACGGACACTGAACTGAAAACGGCGCAACTGACCGAGGCCGTGGAAGCGCTGGCAGTAAAGTGAATGCGAGGTAAAATTATCACTTTAGAAATTAGAGTTCATAACAAGAGTGTAAGCCTGTGTTGTATGTGAACGATAGTTTGGGTCATATCATGTATAGCTTGTATGCTTTTGTATCTTGTGTGTCGTGAGTCAGGCCATAAAGTAAAATATTTAGATTAATCATATTGAACACTGTCGCGCAGTCCCCTGTTTGATCGGATTTGGTCTCTGCACATTCCGATACTAGTTCCCGTGCTGTGTTTCGTGGTGTCTGTTATTAACGATCAAATGAAACTATTCAATTGAACATGTGTCGAAATACATTGTTATGCCCTCAATGTGATCCAGTAAACTGCCGTAAAAAACCGCCGCCTGATTGTGGCACGACCTGGAATGGAACTGATCAGTGGACGTAATGTCAAAAATCGACTCGGTATTCCTGAAAACATACACATACCCAGTTCAGTGAGCTATGCTACAGGTGCAGTGCCACAACTGTGCAGGGTGCGTAACACAAATTTTAATTTTGGTCTTCAGCTCTGTATGTACTGGCTCTTCCGAGTCACCGGCCGCTCCGGACGACCGCTCAGCGCCACCTCGAGGGTCGGCCGAAACTCAAGCGGTGGTTACAGAGTGGGGTCGCCACTATCCAAGTCACCGACGCTCCCGATTTGTCGACGGCCGGCTACTTGTAGGGGGGGGGGGGGGGGTGCAAGGTTTTAAATTCACGAATTGTCTGAGTGCCTTTGGAACATGCGATGCGCGTATTTTGGTGAAAACGTGCTTGTCATACTCCCGTCAGTATCAGTGGAGTAATGGGAATAGCTCTGTACATCCGTATGAAAGAATTAGCTAATGTCATTTATTGGAGATAATTGCAAACAGGAAATAGGGGTAGGAGTAGGTATCACTCAGGGTCACACAAACAGGCAGCAACTCACTCCCAACATCAAACCGCAATTCGCTTTGTTCCCTTGCAAATGTCTCGAGTCCTCGACTGAATACACTGAGAAGCACATTATATCCTATTTTACATCCAGGTGCTACTGTGTTACGAATGTGTGAGCTGGTTCCGTGGCCTTGCAGGCCCATCCATTTTCCTACCTACCCTCGTCTCCCCGTGTTACACGGTGCATTTATAATCAGCTCAGCACCCCACCGTAGCTCGAGGGACCGACTGATGACGCTGGGTGTGCCCTTGCCACCCCTCCCCCTCCCCCTAGGCGTCACCCGTCCGGCGGCTGAGTCTCCCCTCTCCCCTGCCGGCCTCCGTTCCCATGCTCCCCACCATTACACCTTGCCCCGGGGCTACCGGCAGTACCTTTATGTTCCGTATCTAACATAGACCGTACTTCGCCCCGTCAGCGGCGTCCCGATTGGCCGCCGCCCGGCAGCTGCTCTGTGTCTCGCGCTCTCATTGGTGGACGCGTCATGCCCGGTGGGCAGCGGCGAACTGACAGGCGCTCCCTTCCGCCGCACAGATTCGCCTGTTTGCGTGAAGAGGTGCCGTACAGTGGAGAGCCACGCTGCCCGCACAGTGGGAAAGCAAGTCGCGTGCGTGGCTGGACTAACCGGCTATCGGTTATTGTCCGTGGAAGAGCGTTGATAACCGGAGTGTGGACGCGGGGACGCCAACCGTGCGACGCCGTTCACTCCAACGCCGTCCGCGTGCCGTGCCGAGCCGGCGTGCCGCTCGCTGCCGCCTCAGGTCAGTGACTTCAGCGACCGATTCGCTCCCCTCTGTCGCGTTCGGTTGGCCTGATGTTGTGCAGAGTTCGTGAGCTGTGCTGTGGGGACTGGATTATGAATATCACGTACAAGTGTGTGTATGTGATTGTGGATTGTGGATGTGCTTTGTGCGTGGCTGGCCTCGTCACAAGTCTGTGCGCAGGCAGACACCGTTAGACTGTCCTCGTGCTCCGATGTACCGTTGTGCTCAGGAGATGGAACTGTGTCTCACGCTGGCACAGGCTGTGAACTGTTTTTGTCAACTTCAGTATAGCTACAGTACAGTTCAAAAGGTACAGGAGCGTAGCCAGAATAGTGCTGTGGTACTTTCTAACTTATTTCGATAGGTTTCAACGTCATAGGCTTCGTTTCGAAATTAGCTACATCGATCATCTTGGAAGCTAAGAGATAAAAAACGCAGTAAAAGTGGTCGCGACCATACGAATTACGAATGTTTTTTTTTTTTTTGCTTATGAAGTTATTGCGTTTTGACTGAGGCCAATGGTGAGGTCGTTAAAGGTCATCAGAGGTCAACATTTCCGATTTAACAACTGTTAATGACAATGTTCCACTACCCCTCAGCTCGTCAATTCATGAAAGAAATCCATATTGCATTTAGAGCCATTTTCGTGATAGAATGACAGCCTAGTCTACAGGCTACAGAGGCCAGTAAAAGTAAATACTAAATAGTAGGTACGTACCGTCTAATGCAGATTACTTTTTTCAAGGGCGTTTATATTGAAGCCATAAGTACAGTTCGATTGTCAGTGCATTTTTTCAACAAAACACCTCGAATGTCATGCTTACACTATGACCCGAAAGTTTCCAATAAAACATTTATCAGAGGTTATCGACAGAATGATGTATGACCTCAAATGACCTCGATTGACATTTCAAGTGACCAATGATCATCTGCTGTACCCCGGCTTTTACAGCAAGGTGATGCACTGCAATGCAATGAATTGCTTTGAAAAGTGGGATCATAAGTCAAACCTGTCCTTAGGTCACACAGAGGTAGGACTGCTAACTTGACCCGGTGACCTGGTCGTATTTGACCTGGGGTCAACACTTTACTACGACAATGAAATTGATGTGTTGCGGTAGCTTTTTTCAGTTTCGCGGTGGTAGGCTTTCGCGAAGGTAGGCTGGAAAGAAGCATGCTTAATCGGAAGATGGAACTTTCTTAATGTTCTAAAGCAACAGTGACTCTGAACGTCGTAGTTTTTTTGCGATGCTTACGAGGAGATATTGGATTTCACGTCGAGCATTTTTGTCTGGCAAGCCCCCTTTTTTCCTGGACTCGTTTATCGTGAACACAGGCAGGTCGCGTCTCTCGTTTCCAAACAGTACTGACCCGGTGGCCTGGATGGCCGCTGGCGAGTCGCTGAGTCAGTCTAGCCACCGACTGGGCTGTCAAATAGTGTAGTGTCAGCGGATAGCCAGCAGGCATCTCCTCCAGACACTGGCGGGCATATGGGCAGACGGAGCTGCGTTCGGGGAATGATAAGGTCAGAGCTCCGGTCGACGGACGAAACACATCTAGGCGGACGAACGGACGGAAGGAACGCATTTGGACGGACGAACAGAACCCATTTGGACGGACGAACGGAACCCATGTGGACGCATGGACGGACGGGCTTACGGAACCGACCATTTGGAAAGACGGACGGACTGACGGAATTTTACGTACGTCGAGACGTGGACATTGCGGAGCTCTTATCGGCTGCCAGAAGAAGCTCTACAGAAAAAGGGGGCTGACGAGTGTCGCTCGATAGTCATTTGATTAACCTTACCAGTGAGACGGGTGCTGAAAAAGTAGGCCTAATGATAATTTCTTTTAATATTTTACGGCACAAATATTTCATCATGGCTAATTACAAAAGTCACTGTGCGCTGTCTGACAGCCTGTCCTGTCAGTGCCAGGATAGCTCAAGTACTTGAACGAGCTCAAAAACTCGCCTTGGTCACATTCTCAGCCACAGTAAAAAGTGTGCCGAGATGTCCTAACGAATGAACCGCCGTTTTGTGTGCCGCTTCGACATGGGGCTGTCATCGCAGGCCATGTATTGATGTTTATTTGGCTATGTCAGTGACCAGTGGCCAGCGTCACAACCGGGGCTCGCCCTCATCCAGACGGCATAGCGACCCTCGCGACCGGTACGGGCGGGTGCTGGCGGGGGGTGGCCGGCGGCGTTGTCACCGCCCATTGCTGGGCGTTGGCCTTTCTCCTAGCCCGGGAGCCGATTGCTGTTGGTGGGTGGGAGCTGGTCACTCCCAGGGGCTGAAAGCCGGGGCGCCGGTCACTGCTGGCAGCTAGAGTGCAATCACTTACTGGCACTGCCGGTCACTGGTTGTCGGTCATTACGGAATGCTGACGACTTAGACCGGTCACCGCTGGCGGCTGGAGTGCAATCACACCCTCTGACTGCCGGTCACTGGTCGCCGGTTACTGCAGAATGCTGACGACTTGGAGACGGTCACTGCTGAGTGCTGATGACTTGGACAACGGACATGACCGCTGACGGGTGACTGAGTACAAGTCACTGCGGGTCACTGGCCTAAGGCCACTACCGCGTCTGGCAGGGTAGCCGGTCACTGGCGCCGAGTCTGAGCAGTGCCGCCGGTTGCCAATGGCGCTGCATGCGACCGGACGCTGCACTCGCGACACGTGCTGACCGGCACGCCCGTATAAACAGCCCGACCGAGCACGACGGCCGACACGGGCACGGCGACGGGACGGTGACCTCTGGCCAGCCCGTGCCGCGCCGCATATGGAGCGGAGCGGGGCGGGTCGCCGTCGGCGGCGGCGGCCCCGGCTGCCGCGACAAACCCAACGCTCCTTTTAGGGGACGGCTGGGCCGATTGACACCTACTCGAGCTCGGAGCTATGAATTATGTGGGAATTATTTTGTTAGCCAGTCATTCTTTTTATGTCGCTAATATCCATTTCTTGCGTCAAAGGAAAGGCATTAATTTAACTTTTCTACAAGCTTCAAGCTACTTTGAGACCATCCAGCCCCTCGTGCTGTCCTATCTAGATTTTTGTAGATCGGGCTTCTCTTCTGAGTTATGATGTGCCGTCGTGACCATATGCTTTGTTTTCCATCGGTAATTTATTTGGGAATCGATCAAAACAGCTTTTGTGGCTAGATGACAAATCTCTGGCTTAACAAGCGCTTACCGCAACCAGAAGCATTTAACAATGAACATTATCTGAAAACCTATCGAGCGCTTACCGTAACCAGAAGCATTTAACAATGAACATTATCTGAAAAGCTATCGCCACGTCATGTGCCAACCAACAGCGGTCATGCTTCATTCTCTGGTCTAAGGCACTATTTTTGGTCACTTGTGACGGGGACAGCTCGGCTTTAGAGCAATGCAACAAGAACGTCATGTCACAATGTTTAACGTGTTGGCTCCATTGTTAGCCTACTTTACGCTTTCAAGCCAGTCTTCCAGTTCCATGGGCCGCAGCAGTCACAGATTGTCTGATTCTGGGTCTGCTTTTTCTTCCATCTTCTGTCCGTACAGCTGCACTGTCGCTGGGTGGGAGGGGCTTTGTTCCGTGGTCGCTGTTTTGTGGGTGTGTTGTGTGTCATTGTGTTTTTGTCGCCGTCACTGCTGTGGCTGTTCCCGTTGTGTCGGTTCGATGGACTAACCGGTGTCAGTGTCGGTAGACGTGTCGGTTTCGGGTCCAGTGTCGGTGTCCGTACCGGTGTCGAGTGTCTTTGTGTCGCTGTCATGGTTGGGTGATTGGTGGATTTCCTACGGTGGTGGTCTCAGTAGCACTTGCTCGCCGTCTTTTTACTGCCCGCATCCGGTCGTTACACGAATATTGCAGCTCTCGGTACACTGGACACACTGGGTATTGCTTATCATTCACCTAACTTCACCTCTCACAACATCACATCCGCACGTATCACCATAACACACACTGTGTCTCGCATGCTCTCACCCTTCACACGTCTGTCATCTTCGCGCATTGCTAACGCTTTTCTCTTTCGCCGTAGGTGGCCGTGTGTGTAGTCTCTGGTGGTGGGCAGGTTTGGCAGCGCGGCCGTGCACAGCTCTACTCGCTGCCGTGCCGTAACCTTGGGAACCGACCGAGCGGCCGAGTGCGTCACCAGCGCTGCCGGCGGAGCGGCGGCCCGCTGCCGACGTCCAGCAGAAGAGGCACGTGTACCCGACGCCGTCACGAGTGATATACTAGTGTGTACCAGTGAGTGCTAGTGTCACCGCGGACGTGGACGGACCGTGGGGGGTGCTGGGCGGTCGGACAGTGTTGGTGTTACCCGTTCGCCGCTCTGAAGGGAAAGGGCCATGTCGAAGAGAGCTACGGAGCGGACGCCTCTTCTAAAACCGCCCAGCGGGAAGCTCGGGTCCGGTACAGATCTATCCGCCTCTGCGATTCGCCGACCACCTCGGCCCGACCGCGGCAATGCCTCGGACGTGGAGGGTCGGCCGTCCGTGCGCCGCCAGCCCCGCCGAAAACTGGCCAGCGAGTCGGACGCGTCGCGCTCTGCCGCTCTAGGTGGCGCCAAGCTGAGCCAGCGAGGCGGCGCCACCACCGGCAGTGAGTCGGAGAGCGAGCGGCCGCGCCGGCCGTACCACTATCACCAGGTGCCGGGCACGCACCGTTTCCGTCACGACTCAGGTGCCGAGGCCAGCGACACAGAGGTGGCCACATTCAACCGGTTCAACTACATCAGCAAGGTGATGGGCGGCTCGAGCGGCCGTCTGACCCGGCGGAACTCAGATACGGGCAGCGAAGCCGAGGGCGAGACGGTCACCTGGGAGCCGCCGCACTTCACCATCCCTGACCACCTGATCCCGGCCGAGTTCTTCATCCCGTACAGACCCTTCGCGCATGCGCCGCGTCCCGGCGAGGAGTCCAAGAACAGCTCCGTGGTGACCATCTTCGCCATCTGGAACACAATGATGGGCACCAGCATCCTGTCGATGCCCTGGCTGGTGGAACAGTCAGGCTTCATCTCTTCCATCGCCACCTTCATCCTGATGGCCATCGTTTGCACGTTTACAGCCTTCCGCGTGCTGACCATGCAGAAGCGGCTGCGGATCCCGCCGCCCACACACGACTTTCAGAACATCATGCGAGACGTGCTCTCCAAGTACTGGGAGTACTTCGGCATCATTTTCTCGGTCCTGGTGCTTGTTGGCGCCATGTTGGTGTACTGGGTGCTCATGACCAACTTCCTCTACAAGTCCGTCGACTACTTTTACGATTTGGCAATTGGGAACTTTAGCAAGTACGAGATCAACACAACTGTGATCAACGGCGCATACTGTCCCGAGGATGTGATAGTTCCCGCCGAAGACGAAACTGTGGAGCTCACTGCCGCGTCTGACAGCTTCTACGATAAGTTGTGGAACACGCAGACAGCACCGTTGTTCCTCATCGTTCTGCTGTATCCGCTACTCAACATCAAGAGCCCCACCTTCTTCACCAAGTTCACCGGCATGGGCACCATCTCGGTGCTGTACATGCTGATTTTCGTGACCACCAAGTCTGCCCAGTTTGGCATCCACGTGAGCTTCTCCGACAGCACGGCCTACGACTACGTGCAGCTGTTCAGGCCCAACTTCCCAGTGGCCATGGGCACGCTGTCCCTGGCCATGTTCATTCACAACTGCGTGTGCCGCATCATGGAGAGCAACGAACACCAGGAGAAAAACGTCCGGGACCTCTTCATTGCCTACTTCCTCGTGTTTATCACGTACCTTTACATCGGCCTGCTCTTCTTCATGGCATGGCCGTTCGCCAAGACATGCATCCAGGATAACTTCCTGGACAACTTCCTTGGCACCGATCCCATGTCGCTGGTGGCGCGTATGTTCCTCTTCTTCCAGATGTGCACCGTCTTCCCGCTGCTCGGCTTCATGATCCGGGCCCAGCTGATGACGTTCATTTTCGGCACCACCTACCCCGGACCGGGCCGAGTCCTGCTGCTCAACACCTTCGTCGTGCTGGCCTGCGTGCTTGTGGCCGTCTTCTACCCGCACATTGGTCAGCTGCTTCGCTTTTCGGGCGCGTTCTGCGGCATGGCCTGGATCTTCACGTTCCCCTGCGTCACCTACATGGTGGGTGCGTACCGTCGCGGCCAACTACGCTGGCCGGGAGCGCTGCTTCACTCGGCGCTCATTGTGCTTGGCGTCGTCAACCTGGTGCTACAATTCGTAGTCAAGACAGATTAACGGCGCTGAATTCTCTAGCTGGTCAATTTAATCGAATACCACTTCGGTCATGGCTGAAGACTCTTGAAAGATCACATGGCGTCACCGGGACAGCGTAATATTGCGAATGTTATTTTAGTGCCGTGCTTCGAAAATGACAATCCATAACTGGTCGTTCAGCCAGGAGTGGGTAACTTGCCTGTGGTCGCAGATTGTCATCCACCACTGGGCTTTGCAGCAGTCTTGCGAAGTTGTATGACAACAGCGAGGTGTGCTGGCGTCGATTGAAAGGTGCATAAGGTAGGGAGCCATAGCATGGCTAAGTGCCATACAGACCGGACAACGGGAACCCGTATCATGTGAGACACTATACTCTAGTGTGAGGCGCTAGTGACCAGACTGTGAGTAGTCGTTGCGCCCCAGTGACGGAATAACCGGGTTGTCATGTAACATAGAGGGACTCTACGAGATGCGCCGTGTCTATTGTCTATGCGTGGACGTGGGTGTGTTCCACGTGTGTTACGGGTTCGCTTCATCCGCGAGTGACCTGTGTGAGCTATGTCAAAGCGGGTGTGCTTACCTGAATTCCGCCTGTCCATGGTATATACCGATAGGGGCTGAGTGGGGAAAGGCGATGTTGGCTGTAAGGGGCTCAACTGGAATGAGAACGACCTTGACTATAGTGCTAGGTGGCGTCTTACAATATCGTAAATGTTACTTACACTGATGAGTCTTTCAAACTATGTGGAGTGTACCGCTCGGGACCGCTTTCATATTGTATCGTTGATACTCATTTTAACCTGGACGCTGGTTTAACCACTTGGGCACTAGGGGCTGGTGTCTTCATTTACTGGCATTGTCTTCTATCCTGAAAGCATTAGAAGAGCATGGGTCTGAATGAGTTGACCGCACATTCATTGTTCGATGTGCTGATCGATGTCCGTATGAGTGTTGGATGAAGTATGGGAATTTCGTATTGTGTATGTAAATGCTCAGGAATCATGCCATATCCTACCTCGGGTGTGGGCAAAATGAGCAGTTCATGCTTACGGTTATCATACGGACAGAAAATATATTTATTCCATAATATGCAAGATGATCGTGTTTGAAGCATGGGCAGATCGTGAAAACTTGCGGATGGAAACAATGGCAGGTTACAAATGTTGTTCTTGGGACATGCTACGACATCTTTTCGCCATGACATTCCTTGAAGGACGCACACACAACTCACGATTATCCGTAGGTTGCTGCGATATAAAATGTTCTCGGGGAGGTTCGGTTCATGATTTCCACATTATATGTTCTGAGAAAGGATGTAAAAGTGTAAAAGGTTATAAAAAGGGTAATTCTTATATTTTTCCTTACATTTACCGAAGCGTTGCTTAGATTGCGACACGCGTCTTGCAGGATCTGTAAAGAAAACGCTTTTATCAAGGAAAATAATTGTCTAACACAATCGTACCTCATTAGGTAACTGTGGTGTCGCGAGCTGCTCCCCCCCTGCCCCGGGGCCTGGCGACGCCAGTTGCTCCCCCCTGCCCGGGGGCCTGGCGACGCCATTGGCGGCGCCGGCGCGCAGACGCGGGGTTCGAGAGCAGTCGGCCGCCGGCCCGCGCGGAGCGCGGTTGTGGTAGTAGCGATCGGTGTTTGGCGCTCTAGGGACTTTAACGCAATGCGGCTTTGGTTGTGAATAAAGAGCTCACGTTATAACATCCTGGCGACGAGGATCAGATCAAGGTGAAGCCTTGGAGCTGTGATTGCGAGTGATGGCGAAACGGGCCAGTGATCAGTGCGCGGTGGTCAGCGAGGGCGGACAGGCCACGGACGGTGAGGGCGCAAACGTTGCTTAGTACGAATGCTTAGTGCTTAGTATTGCTTAGTATTTTTATTTTCGCGCTGCTGCTGGTAGTGTGCCTGTCGCGCGGCGGCCGTTGTCCTGGCAGGGTTTCCCATGTGATCGCCGAAATTCGTGGCGGCCATGATGCCTCGGCAGTGTGGTGTGCGTGGCGCATGCGTCGGCGTCCTGCACGCTGATTGGTCGGCCGGGGGTGACGCGCAGCTGTGGTAGCGCGTGTGATTGGCCGATCGGTGCGGCGGAGAGGGCCTCAATGCGGTTTGAGGCGCCTGGTCCCCGAAGCGGGCAATTTCGGCGGGAAGCTGGCGCGCGGCCGGGCGGTGTGGGGCGAGTGCGCATGCGCGCGCGGTGACGTGCGTGTGACGTCACTACCACGTGACGCCCCCGTCGAGAAAAGCGCGGGAAACCGCAGCTGCAGCGCCAAGTACAGGCGCAGGGCGGCGCGGTGAGCGGTGACCGGTCGGCGTGAGCGGTGGCCGACCGGCGTGTGCGGTGACCGACCGGCGTGTGCGGTGACCGGCCGGTGTGAGCGGTGACCGGCCGGTGTGAGCGGTGACGCCCGGCTGCGGGCCGACCGGTGGAGCGGCTGCGGGCCGCCGGTGGAGCGGCTGCGGGCCGACGGTGGAGCGGCCGCGGGCCGACGGTGGAGCGGCTGCGGGCCGACGGTGGAGCGGCGGCGAGCCGACCGGAGAAACGACGTGCTGGTGAGAGGGCGGCGGCACGATGGATCCAACGGGGATGCAGATAGTGTCTGCGGTGCCGTACCGTCCAGGCACGGACTTTGAAAAGTGGCTCCGGGCATTGGAGCGGTATATGATCGCTGTTGACATTCAAGGGCCTGCGAGACGGTGTGCAGTCCTGTTGCACCTGGTGGGCCCGGACCTCGCCGATGTCAGCGATTCACTGCCTGAGGAGGACGCCGAGAGACAGGGAGAAGACGAGTTTGCTCGCCTGAAAAGGAAGCTAACACGGTATCTGGTGCCGAAGAATAATGTGGTGGCGGAAAGAGGAAAGTTTCAAGGGATGAAAATGGAGCAGGAAGAGAGTCTGGAGGAGTTCCTGGGCAGACTACGGACGCAAATCCTGCGCTGCGGCTACGAGCCGGCGCAGGTGGACCGTGAGTTGAGAGACCGATGCGTCCTGGGCAGCCGAGGTGAGCTACAGAGGAAGCTGGTCCGGGAGGCGGCGCTAAAGGGTGACGACCTCTCTCTGGAGGACGTCCGGCGGACGGCACGGGCGCACAGGGACGTGATGGATCTGACGACGCGGCTGTCAGGGGCGCCGGCGCCGGCCGAGACGGACGGGGAGGCAGTTCACCTGGTGCGACGCCCGCAGCGGACGGAGAGGGTCAGGCCGACCGAGCCCCCGGGGCCAGGCACGTGCTTCCGCTGTGGCGGCCGGGGCCACTGGCGGCGCCACTGTCCCAGCGCGCAGTCGCGGCAGGCCGGCGCGCGGCCCCGGCAGGACGGTGCGCAGCCGCGGCAGGACAGCGGGCAGCCACGGCAGGACAGCGGGCAGCCGCGGCAGGCCGGCGCGCGGCCATGGCGGGCCGGCGCGCCGCGCTGCTATCGGTGCGGAGAGCGTGGGCATCTGCAGCGTGACTGCGGCAAACAGCGAACTGGCGTGAAGCTGGTTCAGGACGGCGACCAGGCTGACTGGCAAGTCAGCGCCGTGCAGCCTGCCGCAGCTGAGTGGGCGACGGTCAGGGTGAACGGCCAGGAGTTCACCATGCTGATCGACACTGGCTCACCGGTGACTATAATCAGCGCGGAGACTCACATCCCCGGTCTGACGCTGCGGCCGAGTGAGCTGCACCTCACGTCATTCACCGGCCAGCAAATCCGTCTGCGAGGCGAGGCCGACGTCAACGTGGAGACGGACGGCCGAGCGACACGGCTGCGACTCGTCGTGTCCGACATGGGCTCTCACCGACCTCTCATGGGACGAGAGTGGATCAAGGCGCTGAGGACGGCGTCGGGTCTGGAGACGCTGAACGTGTGCCCGGTGGCGACTCAGCCGACGCTGAAGGAGGTGATGGACAAACACCGTGAGGTGTTCAAAGAAGAACTGGGCAGAATCCCGGTGAAGGTGGCGCTCAGACTGAAGGAAGGCGCCAAACCGGTCTATCGACGCGCCAGACCGGTGCCGTTTGCGCTACAGCAAGATATCGAGCGGGAGCTCGACAAGTGGCTGGATCAAGGGATCGCCGAGAAGGTGCCTCCTGGACACTTCTCCGGATGGGGTACGCCGCTCGTACCCATCCCCAAGAAGGACGGCGTGCGGCTGTGCGCGGACTATCGGATCACGGTGAACCCGCAGCTGCAGCCTCTGAAGTATCCGATGCGCACGCCGGAGGAGCTATTCGCCAGCATACGAGGGAAAAAGTTCTGCAAGCTGGACTGCAGGAACGCCTATCTCCAGTGTGAGCTGGACGAAGAGAGCCGAGAGATGACCACCGTGACCACACACCGTGGTGCGATGCGGATGAACCGTCTCCCGTACGGGATCAGCACCTGTGGAGCGCAGTTCCAGGCGATCATGGACCAGGTGCTGGATGGTCTTCCAGGAGTCGTCTGTTACCTGGACGACGTGCTGATCGGCGCCGACAGTGACCGTGAGCTGATGGACAGGCTGGACCGGGTGCTGGAGCGGCTGAAGGACAACGGCGTCCGCCTCAAGAAAGAGAAGTGCCAGTTCGGAGTCCGAGAAGTGGTGTATCTCGGTTGGCGACTGTCTGAGGCGGGTCTGCGCCCGGTGCAAGAGAAGACGGCGGCCGTCACAGCAGCACCTGACCCTCGGAACGTGCAGGAGCTGCGATCTCTGATCGGGTCAGTCAGCTATTATCAGCGGCTGCTGCCCAACCTGTCTACCGTGCTAGCGCCGCTCTACGCGCTACTGAAGACGGGCGTCAAATGGGCATGGACGGCGGAGTGCGCCGCGGCAGTGCGCCGTGTGAAGGACATGCTGTCCACGGCGCCGGTCCTGATGCGGTACGACCCCGTGCTGCCGCTGCGGCTCGTCACGGACGCCAGTGCGACAGGAGTCGGAGCGGCTCTGATGCAAGTGACGCCCGAGGGGCTCGAGAGGCCGGTACAGTACGCCTCCCGAACGCTCACTCCGACGGAGAGGAAGTACGCCCAAGTGGAGAGGGAAGCCGCAGCCGTCTCGTTCGGAGTGCGGCGGTTCCACCAGTTCCTGTTTGGTCGGCCGTTCACCCTGGTGGTCGACAACAGGACGCTCTCCAGGATCCTAAACCCGGACCGTGAGCTGCCATCTCTGGCGGCGGCTCGCATGCAAAGGTATGCGCTGCAGCTCGCGGCGTATCAGTACAAGATCGAGCTGCGCCGGACGGAGGACATGAGGCTGGCGGACACGATGTCCCGTCTGTCGGTGCCGGACGAGGCGGAGAACCGGCTGTCGGCAGAAGAGGAGGCGGCGTACGGCGGAGGCGGCGTAATGTTCATCGCCGAGCAGGGGCCGTGTCTGACCGCGCAGCAGATAGCAGTGGCCACGCGCCGAGACCCGGCGCTCGCCCGTGCTCTGGCGGCGGTGCGATCGGGCTGGCCGGCGGTGGTGGACCCGGACCTGGCTCCCTTCAAGAATCGCCGAGAGGAGCTGACGACTGAGGCCGACTGTCTGCTCTGGGGCGGCCGAGTCGTCATCCCGAGCAACCTGCGCGACACCGTCAAGCGGGAGCTGCATGAGGGTCACTTCGGCTGCACTCGCATGAAGCAGCTGGCGAGGCGCTTTGTGTGGTGGCCGGGACTCGATGCTGAGCTGGAGGCGCTGGCTCGCGGGTGTCAGGCGTGCGTCTCAAAGCGAGCTGAGCCGCCGCAGGCGACACGGCACCCGTGGGAGCCGACGGACGGCCCGTGGCAGCGGGTGCATGCCGATTTTGCCGGACCTCTGAAGGGCACCTGGTTCCTGGTGATGGTGGATAGTTTCTCCAAGTGGGCTGAAATGATCCCAATGAAGACGACCACGTCCGAGCGGACCGTAGCGGTGATGAGGACGGTTTTTGCTCGTCTCGGACTACCACTGGTGCTGGTAACGGACAATGGCCCACAGTTCACGAGCCAGGAATTCGCCCAGTTCGCCAGCTCTAACGGGATCCGACATGTCAGAGTGGCGCCCCATCACCCATCGTCTAATGGGATGGCGGAGCGAGCGGTCGGCTCGCTAAAAAACTCACTGAAGGCGACTCTGGCAGCAGACGACAGCGGAGGCATGGAACTGGCGCTCGCCCGAGTTCTGATGGCGTACAGAGTGACGCCCCACGCCGCGACCGCACGGACTCCCGCTGAGATGCTGTTCGGGCGGAACCTCCGCACTCGTATGAACCTCATGGTTCCGAGCGCCGAGACAGCTCTGCAGGCGGCTCGGGACCGGCAGCGTGAGACGGCCGGCGGACGGAGCAGGGAATTCGCCGTGGGAGCTACAGTGTGGGCCCGCTCGTATGACGGTCGTCAGAAGTGGGTCCGCGGCACGGTGGTCGCCCGCCCCGGTCCCGTGTCGTATGAAGTGGACGTGGGACACGTGATCTGGTCGCGCCACGTTGACCAGCTGTTGGCGGCGGCGGCGGACCCAGGGAACAGCGCCGGCGGTGACGTCAGAGCGGCCACCGGCGGTAGTGTCCGAGCGGCGACCAGTGGTGACGTCAGAGCGACGACCGGCGGTGACGTCAGAGCGACGACCGGCGGTGACGTCAGAGCGACGACCGGCGGTGACGTCAGAGCGACGACCGGCGGTGACGTCAGAGCGACGACCGGCGGTGACCGGGCTGGTGGCGCCGGCGGCAGCGCCGGGCGCCCTGTCGGAGACGATCGCGCCAATGGCCTCGGTGACGGCAGCCGCGCCGGCGTCGCCGGTCAGGCCTGTGACCGGGGAGCAGTCGGCCTCGGCCGTGCCGGTGATCTCGGCGGCGGCGGGGATGCCGGTGACCCCGGTGGCTACGGCCGTGCTGGTGACCCCGGCGGCGGCGGTAGTGCCGGTGACCTCAGCGGCGGCGGTGATGCCGTCAGCAGTGGCGGTAGTGCCGGTGACCTCGGCGGCGGCGGTGATACCGGTGACCTCAGCGGCTACAGTCACACCGGCGGTGGCGGTGACGGCGGCGGCAGGGGCGGCGGGGACACTGAGGGCCCCTCGCAACGCCGTTCCGCTCGGCGCCGGAGGTGCCCGAGGCGACTGATCGCCGAGGTTTAAAATGTGTTTGTTTCCACGTTCCGACGCGTAATGTGTTTGTTTCCACGTTCCGACGCGTAATGTGTTTGTTTCCACGTTCCGGTTTAAAATGTGTTCCGTTTTAAGGGCGGCAGGTTAAAGTGAATGTGTTCCGTTTTAAGGGCGGCAGGGTGTGGTGTCGCGAGCTGCTCCCCCCCTGCCCCGGGGCCTGGCGACGCCAGTTGCTCCCCCCTGCCCGGGGGCCTGGCGACGCCATTGGCGGCGCCGGCGCGCAGACGCGGGGTTCGAGAGCAGTCGGCCGCCGGCCCGCGCGGAGCGCGGTTGTGGTAGTAGCGATCGGTGTTTGGCGCTCTAGGGACTTTAACGCAATGCGGCTTTGGTTGTGAATAAAGAGCTCACGTTATAACAGTAACCGCTTGACTAGCGTTTTCACCAAAACATCCGTCCTATAAGCCGTTCTATCTGCGTCAGACAGCTTCAGTGGCGCAAGGCCGTGACCTCGGGGGTGCGTCTGTTGTGCCATACGGCCCGGGCTCTCCGTTGAACACCTGTCAGCGGACGACCCACGGCAGCCGGTCTGTCTGCAGAACCACCAGCCGGCCGGTCAGTCAGCAGAACCGCTCTGTCGCCACCTGGCCGCTGTGGGCGGTGTCTGCACTCTGCTCACTGCTCAGCCGTGGACTTGATTTGCTCCAACCAAGGTCTTGCTCAACCAGTTGCGATCTGAATGTAATTATATGCTCTGTCTGCATGCAGCGGCATGAGCCTCCCGGTGTTTCTCCATGGCTGCGGCTGTCTGCTGAGCAGTGAGCCTGTCCCGTGGAACCAAGTGGAACAGGCAACACGGATGTGGAAACGGTCACCCTAGGAGGTGTGACGGATCCCTAGAGAGGGACAAGTCCCTATTGGAGGTGCCTGCAACGGCTGCATGAAGTACCTATTGAACTTCAAGCCTAGGCCTAGTCGCACTTCCAGTAGGTAGGCATGCACAATGCAGATCCATAACTGCACTTACCTCTGTAGGGGTCAGTTTGTTTCTTGAAATTGCATTCCATGTTTTGTTGATAAGGACGATTTATTTCTAACAGATACGACGTTAGACATTTAGAGCACCAAATTTACAGCATTTTCCCGTAATTGCCTTTTTATTCATGATTATTGATAAGTGATAACCTCCTAGGTAAAGTAATCGGCTTAATTAATACGACAAATCTGACTCATCTAGCTAACGTAGAGACGTTTTGACGCAATTCCCATTTCCCAATATGGATGGCTTTCTGAGAATAACAAAAGGTCTTATTATGTAGTCTGTTAGCCATCGCTCTGCACCGACAGCTTAGGACTAGGAAGTTATTATTTTTACGGTTTTTATTTTCATTTTGCATTTATCACCATATTTATAATCAAAGCATATTCCTGAGTGGTTGGAAATAGAGATGTTCCACGGTGTGCAAGGCCCTATATAGAAGCACGGTGTGAAGACGTGTCCGACCGCTGCACTCACCGCAATCAAACGGCAAACTCCATTAAAGGGACCCTCCCACCTTAACATTAGTTTTGAGTTGAGATAGCCAAGTTTGCGGCCAGGCTCAGAAACCACCATTTATCCTGGTCGCAACCCCCGCAGCTTTATGGTGTTCAAGAAATTTCTTCCCTTAACTTGCAGGGTGGGACCAGCGTGGTCCCTATCTCTTAACCATTACGGGAATCTGATGACGTCATCAGGCTTTCGAACGTCCGTTAAATGTTTGACTAAAACGTTTTGTAGCACGCGGTGGTATATGCTGCTTTGCGCGCAACAAATGCCGCACTGTCACATAAAGTCGCTAGGAACAGCGGAGATCCCAAAAAGTAAACAAAAGTAAAAGTCTAATATCTTGAAAACCGGTGAATAGGGGAAAGTGGGGTAAGACGGTCAGGGTAGGTAAGACGGGCACCCCTTCTGCAGACCAAACCAATAGCGCTACGAGCAAGAAAAGTTAGGACCAGAATTGCCTTTCCCACTACACACCACCATTCAAGTCTGGTGAATTTGTGTTCAGTCGATAATCTTTTATTTTGATTTCTTTAAAACACTCATTTCATTGAAAACATCCATAATGTATTGTGCAAGCTTTTGTGTACAGCACTATAGAGTTAAAAACTCGCAATCACTTGTGGTACACTCATATGCCAACAGTGTTCATTTACGGCGGATTTGCTTTGTCTGCATCAAATTGTCCACAGCGAAAAATCGTGCTGAACTTCTGACATTGAGTTTGGGGTAAGACGGGCAACTATGAACCCAATGGGTCTGTAATGGTGAAAATATTTTTGTTGCTGTAGGAAAAAAGAAGCATTTCTAATAAGAATATGTTCGATTCCGATACTCACAGACATGTTAGCAATATTCCTTCGGCACAGTTTATTCTCGAATAATGAATGTGAAAAACGGTTCTACATGGCTTCTGAACTAGGGCCTATATAGGAGCATACGCCTTCTGCACGAATCTCGTATACTGCCATTTCCGAAGCACTTGAGACCAACGAGCGACTGTATAAATGCGGCTAATCTCGGGCATTTGTTGCGAGCTGCGCTGATCGGTGAAAGAAGCTGGCCGTCTTGCCCTACCCATGTGACCGTCTTACCCCATGGGGTGGGGTAAGACGGGTTTTTGCAAGGTTTTGCAAAAATAGCTGCAGTTTATTTGTTGAATCAGGTCTAAGTCTCATCTTCTGGCAAATGAAAGTAAAATGTCTGAAAAAGGTTTTCACCCAGTTTCCCGTTTCTATGATGTTTCTAACCGGCCGAAAAATGGCTCCAAAGTTAAGGTGCCCGTCTTACCCCACTTTCCCCTATTTTTCGATGAAATTTGGTAGATATTCGTTTTTGCTCTTTCTGAACCGAGCGACATCACTTTCATGCCAATTCATTAACTTTTTTGAAGGTGGGAGGGTCCCTTTAAGTGTCGACTTTAGGTATGTAAACAGGAGAAAGAGAGAGAGAGGGGGAGAAAGACTAAGTGAGAGAGGGGGAGAGAGAGAGAGAGAGAGAGAGAGAGAGAGAGAGAGAGAGAGAGAGAGAGAGAGAGAGAGAGAGAGAGAGAGAGAGAGAGAGAGAGAGAGAGAGAGAGCGGGAGAGATCGGCTCAGGGAGTGACAGGGCGAGGCAATGTTGTTCCATATTCCATAATCCATATCTATCCAATGCAGAGCTGTTGAGCTGAGGGCGTGTTCATTGTGAATGGCGGTAAATGTCGGCATCGTCTGATGCGACCGGCGAGAGAGGGAGAGAAACAGAGAGTAGAGGAGCGAGGGGGAGCGCGGAAAGAGTGGCCGGACGGAGCGAGCTCGGTCGCCCCGCCGCTCTGTTGCACCCATCGATCGGTGGGGCGGCTGGGCCGTGGCTGCTCTGGTCGACGGCGCGGCCCCAGTGAGGCTCCGACTATACCACCGGCCGCTGCCTGCCGGCCATCAGCCACGGCCGCCCTCCGGACAGTAGCGGAGAGTCGCACTGGACTCCCGTGTCCCCCAGAGCTCAGTCAGCCGTGCTGCTGGTGGTCGGGAGCTGAGACACCGTGTTGTAACCCTGCCTCTCACGTGCGCTGAGTTCCACGAATGTTGTGACTGATAGCTACTTGGGCCGGCTCGGCAGATCTCAAGCACCGACGACTACCGCCGCCTGAGGAGCGGACATCAGCTGGTGGAGGTGGGAGGAACCCGATCGGTGCCCGCCTCAGCGTGAACACAGGTCAGTGTAATAGGCGGGTACAGCTTGAACTGTTTGCGGGATTGTTTTAATTGTGCTCTCTCGTGTTGGGCGTTGGCTGTGCCTATGCAACTGCTCTGGATGCCACTGATAATAAAAATCACTACGATAAGAGCGCATGACGAATCGCGTCGGAGAGGCTGGTGATGTCCTCTATATCCTTGCAAGAGGAAAGGGAGCTGTGGACGTTAGGTATACCTAATCGAGAAAATATCTGTATACCTATTGGTCCTTTTGGCGAGAATCGCTGATCTCGGCTTTCCCGGCACTCTACTCCCGTCTCCACATAATATCTACTGAGTTGGATAGAGCGCCCAAAATGCTTTTTACCCGCTTTCCCGTTTTAGAGCTATGTTTTCTGTTCCCTACTTTACTTTCAGTGTATTCGCCTTGTCACGTTGTTCGGGTCCTTCTCAAAAGAATAGATCACAATACCTTCCTAGGTATGTCTTGCACTGTCTCTGTCGATTTCTTGGTCTAGGAGAAGCCCCGGAAAGCCCCCTTTGCGCACATAAATGCATGAACAATCAAGAACGCTTTATACGTTCATGCATTTATGTGCATATATTGTCCGAGAAGCTATTAGCTGAACTCGATGGAAGGAGAATGCCAGAATACAAAGGAGGCGATGGCGAACAATGTAAGTATCTAGAAAAAAAAAGAAGACGTGAGACGTCTTACGATTAAAAAGAGCGTATGATATTACTTATTTGACGATCAGCTAAATGGATTGAAGGTGAACCATACGACCTGCCGGTTGCTAAATGAAAATAAAGCGGAAAACATCAAAAGCCCAAGACGCGCTAGCCAGGTTTATCTTCGTTATAGTGCGGGCGGTGTACTCCTAACTTACCGACAGTCATCAGCGTCATACCGTCTTGAGTTTGCGGCGTATATTAGTAAGGGAAACTGATGTCGCTCCTTTGCTGTATTGCAGTATTCCACCTCGGCTGATATAAGGGAGGCGCGGCTGGCGCATATGACCCACCCGTCGCAGGTTATTACTATAGCGGCCGAGGGGGAGGAGGGAGGAGGGGTGAGACACGTGACCCAGTTCAAATAGTCCCTCTATGATTTATAATTCGCGACGAACCCTCTTCTTCCTGCGCTGCGCTTTCGGCAGATATATGCCTTTTTTGTCTTCTCTCTCTCTCTCTCTCTCTCTCTCTCTCTCTCTCTCTCTCTCTCTCTCTCTCTCTCTCTCTCTCTCTCTCTCTCTCTCTCTCTCTCTCTCTCTCTCTCTCTCCCTCTCTCCTCCTGATTTTTATGCTTTATTTTTTCGTTCTTTCGTTTTGTGTAACAGTGTGTGTTGCAGTGTTATGTTATATTCTACTGTGTTACATCCGCTATATAAATGGCAGCCAGGTGCAGTTATGACAGGCCGTCCTCCGTCTCTCCCTGCGCCGGTCGACGTGTTTTGGTCGCGCCACAGGTGTGCTGTCACCACAAAACCCGCACAATACACACCGTCGGCACACCGTCCGTCTAAACACGCACCATCGCCGCGCACTTGTACAGAGTCCCCATAATATAGCGGTGTCATTTGTCTGTTCCGGTGATGTTACCGATGCGCCGCGCCAAAGGCGCCTCTATAATGACCGCGGTGGTCTGTATTTGTACGTCCTACGGCAATTTATATAGGTTCGTTCTGTTGAACACGTTTGCAGAAATCAATACAATGTCCAGGGCGGCTCTGTAGCCAAATTAGCACGGGTGCTCGGCCTCATGAGGGTGTTCTTTTGTAGTAGGAAATAGCCCCGGCGCTGCGGAATGTAATTAACACTGGTACCTATATGCAGGTGTGCGGGCTACATGAATCCAGTGGCAAAATTTGCAGTTGGCATGATCGTTACAGAGAGCATAGTATGTATATGTACTAGTAATAAGTCATGGGTACAATGCATTCGGTTAAATAAGTAAAAAGTGGCGTGTAGATTTATTACTGTACTTACAATTGTATGACAGTCGTCGGCATCCTTCGTATGATGCCCATAATATAGGGATCCGTACCTGTACATAAGGCTTTTTATGCTAACGGTGAAGTTCAAACCATGAAATCAATTATATTTTTGAAATAAAATTAACCAGGGCAATGATAACATATGATAAAGGCAGACTACATTATATTGCTAGTATTTTAAAATCTAAGCGGCTATTGTATGCATTCGGCGGTCCTTATCCTATCCTCGTGTACCGATATTTTATACCAGACATGTAGGTAGGTAAGTACCTACTTACCCACGTCCTACATGACAAGTTCTTGATAGGTGGCCACTGCTTTTACAAGTTTAATCATTAAAGATGTATGAAAACATCCATTGTAACGCATGAACCAGTGTATTAGTCGGACAACTTTTTATTTTCCCCAATCTTATACAATCTGTAGCACTCCATCTCCATACATCACTCAGCACACCGGGTAGGAGCGCGGTAAGCTGGTGCAGTGTAGCCTTTTTATTGAGTTTGCATCACTGCCATAGCCGGTATACGTGTCAGCACCAGGAGGGGTGGGGGCGGGGGCGGGGGCGGCGTGACGCCGCGAGCCCCGGTGTCGACGATAGGCCGCGCGCCGGTGGCAGTTGGGGTCGGCGCTCCGCCAGCGGCGCCCGGTCGAACCACGTCGGTCCTCGCCGGCTCGACAATCGAACACAGCACCAGGCTCCCGTGCACAGGTGGTCTGTTCTCCTGACGAGGTTAGTTGAATGCCATTCGGTCTTTCAATCCATCTTTTGAAAAGATTGGACTTTCATGGTTGAATTTTACTGCACTGAAATTGTCAATTGTGGATCTGGTCTTTCGGGAGAACCATTCATTGCTTTGAGTTGCCTTGCTCTACTTATAATGACAGAACGCCAGAATTCCGGTTTCTGCAATTATCTTTGAATTATAGCGGTGCTTATTTTACGCTGGCGTCAACATTGCTGGAATCCGCCCACTGTCAAAGGGCCGCCGGGCCGTATTTTAGACAGCAGTCAAGCGCCCGGTGTGTTATTGGTCCCTGTGAAAGCCGGTGTTTGGCAGTTAGAGCCAAACAGCCGAGCCGATAGCCAACTTTAACCCAACCAACAGCTAACTTCCGGTAATAGCCGTCCCCTCAGCCGCCCGACAGCTCAGCCCCGGCCCCGGCCGGCAGAGTTTGCTGCTTCGACAGCCGTCCTTGAGTGCAGTGCAGCCTCCTGAGAGCTCAGCCCGGGCAGTTCGGCCTCCTGACAGTTCAGCGGCAGTTCAGAGCCGCGAGTTCAGAGCACTGCCCGATAGGCGTTATCACAAGTGTATTCGCGGCCATTGGGGCGACGTAAGAAAAGAAGAAACCAACTGGCCCCAAGAACTTTAAATTATCAGTTAGCATGCACCTTTTCCTTGATGTGTAGAGAATTTACCATTATTTGTTACAGAAAATTGCATTTAAAGTCTTCCATTTATGCTTTTTTCATCGTTTGCACAATATGTTCTTCTACTAAGCTAGAAACACTAATTAGAAATAGTTCCCGCATCATCAAGAACAATAGGGAAGGCTTGAAGTGAATAAAATAATTTAAACGGTTTTGTAATCTATGTGAAGGCACTTCTAAAATTGCCTGTAGAAATATTGAAGGCAAAAGTTCCACTTTTTCACAAGACGGATGTCTATAAACCTATCTAACTTGTGACAACTCAGCCGGTATTTCGTCGCCTACAGCCCAGCTTTCCCTAGTGACCGATAGAGGCGCTGCTATCGATGTCCGCCCGTGCCGCCTAACGCGTCTTGACAGGTCCGCTGCTCTTTCAGTTCAGCCCCCGACAATTCATCCCTCGTCAAGTTCAGCTGCCTTACATTTCAATTCCGTCAGTTTATCTGATAATCTAGTTCCGTCATCTTCAGAGCAGTTCAGCCGTCCTGCAGCACAGTTTCGTTAGCCGTACTGAGTGTGCATCACAGCTCCATCAGCTCCACTGGCGGTTCAGCCCCACCAGCCACCTTGACATTTAGCCCCGTCAGTTGATCCCGGCCAGCCCCATTCACCATTCCGCCCCGTCAGATGTTTCTGTTTCTAACGCCAGACGGGCGCGGTGGAACGGTGTGACGCCCGCGCCGAGGACGGCTCCACTTGTGCGCCCGATATCGTTATCGGCCACACTTTGGCACTGGGTGGCGAGGCCGCACTTAAGGCAAACGGGCCCGACTGCGCCGTCCTGTTGAGATGTCACCGTTTCTGTGACCTATACAGACAGACACCTACATTGCCTCTATGGCATGCAGTGTTGTGAGTTCGAGTAGCAAATAAGCTCACCCTTTGGAGCATTTACTAAAAGGAATGTTTATTATACTATCCAGACCTCTCTGCAGTGACAGAAATCACGTCGTGGTGCAGGCGTAACCGATATCCAAAGCACATTAGGCACGTTGAATTAAATCTGTATCTCAGAGCCATAGCCATTTCGCCTGCCGCCAATTTGCTTTGTTGTCCGGATTAAAAATATACCCAACTAACCACTAAATATAAGACATGCAAACACTGGAAACAAACATCTGCCCATCCGCTAATTCGTGTTTGGCACGCAAACTTCTGGCGCTGTGTGCTCGGCACTGCGGACACATGGGGCGCCGCCGATCTATCAAATTACTGGCCCGAGTGCGCCGTGCCACAGCCTGCGGCCAATACGGCCGCACGGGCGCGCAATGTTTGTCGCCGCACGGCGCGGCTGACCGGACCGCCCCGCGTCGCCAATCGATGCTGTTTTGTTCCGCAGCAGTTGGTGCTGAGTGCGCTGCCGGCACTGCCCACGTCCCACTGCACTGCCGCACCGGCCCCGAGGCCCACCGGGCCGGCCGGCTGCAATACCGGCCGTAATGTCGTAAACATCTGAGCACTTTCCAGAGACAGCTGGAAATGCAGGCGATTGGTAAGTATTGGCAAGGATGAGTGAAATATGGAATATTAACTTATTATTCTTAAATGACTTTTGCATCGGCAAAGAACAATGTCCAAAGTGGGTGTTTT